AAAAGAAAAGTAGTCCTTAAACAGACCATATTTAATCTGCATATAACCTATGACCAGAATATATAAAGAATTCTTAGAGCTCATTAATAGACAACCCAATTAAAATGTAGACATAAGATGATAGCCAGTACACAGAAGATATAAATAAGTATAAAAATAAAATGTACAATATAATGTAAAATATACATTTTCATCTTCCCGTGCTTACATGATGAACTCTAAGTCGAGCACTTAGTTTGCTCAGTTAACAAACTGTGCCGCCCTAATTTCTTTTCTTTTCGGCCTGAACGCTGACCGCTGAAATAGCACACCCTGTACTCCCACAGGGAGCCAAGTTGGACAGCACAGAGTTTGCTAACATAACTTTCGCTTCTTCCCGCACAAGGGAAGGCAGCTTGGTGACCAGTCCCGGAAGACTCACTGCTAAGCCCCATGGAACCTGGTTCCCCGAAATCCAAATAAACTGTGGTCCCATCCGAAGCCTGCTGAGAAGACCAAAGGGAAAAGGCATCCCACTTGTTAAATGTTTATTATTTGAGCTTAGCAGCCAACTATAATAAGGGCGAGAGGAAGCTGTCTGAAAACTGCATGCAGATTTAGCTACTCAAATTCCAGGGATGTAAAATACAACACTGAGGCTTAGCCCTTAAAATTTACTAGGCGGTAGCTTAAGAAAGGCGGTAGCCGGTGCTAAAAGCTTGGAGCCGCTAATATTTAGGTCAGTGATTTGAAAGCCATTCAAGTCAACAAAGAGCTGAAATTCTCAACACAGGGAAAACTGTTGCTTCCTCTCACTCTGAGACTCCATCAGAGGAAAGGAACAAATCTCTTCTCTTCTGCACCCTTTCAAATCCATCCGAGAATGTTCTACACTTTCTCAATGCCAAGTGGCCATCTATTAAACTGCTGGCTGGGAGGAGTAGGGGCTGATTTCTTCCCTTGTCCTGCATTTCCCTGCTGTCTTCATGCCGAACCCCCATGACCAAAGCCTCTGCTTTAGCCGTTCTCCACCTGCCCTGCTGAATGTGTCCATCATTTCCTTAACTATAATAAAGATATGATTCTCAGGCTTATTACCTATAGGCAAATGCTTTAAAATTACTGTAAGTTGGACCAGGGATTTACCTCAGTGGTTTCGCCGCCTGCTGCGCAAGTGCAAGGACCCGAGTTCGATCCCCGGTACCAAATAATAAATAAATAAATAAAATTACTGTAAGTGCTAAATAAATACAAAGTTCCAAAGTAGTAAAATATATTTGGGAGGACATCATGATATATATCTATGTATTTGTTAGCCAGTTCCCAGGCCAATTATGGCACAAAATAAAGTCATAACCAATCGTCAAAAAATCATTTTTGGCATGAATTAATATCTTTAATCCTCAAAAAAACTAAAAGATGTAAAGAAGAACAAACTTTAAGGCAAAAAGTTTTGACTATCCTGTAAACATGAACACACAGAAAATGCGGCTTGTCCTCGGGAGTTTTGGTTCAAATCCTGGTTCTGCTGCGAGACTGACTGTCTTCTTAGGTAGAGGAGTTCATTGCTCTGAGCTCGTTTTCCCAACCCCAACATGGTAACACTGGAGTTAACATTTGCCACAAGATTGAGGATCAAAAGCTTCACAAATTACATGCTGAATTCAAAGTAGATTAATACAAAATGTGATTGATGGCATATTTTTTATTTTTGGTACCAGGGATTGAATTTGGGTCCTTGCACTTGTGCAACAGGCAGCAAAACCACTGAGCTAAATCCCTGGTTCGATGGGATATTTTAACCAGTCACCTATTAAATAGGAACAGTAATAGTTATCTTTTTAAGTGCCTAATATGTGCTAGAACATGGTTAAGAGGCTCTTACATTCATTACCTATTTTAACCTTCATTTTAACCTCCAAGTGATATCAAGCCTGAGAAGGAAATAGGCTCAGGGAAAGCTAAGAAAGTTCCCCAAGGTCATAAAGCCAGTAAGAAATGGAAAACCACAGTTCAAGACAGTCAGGACCTAAAACCCACTTCTTCACTGGCCCCTTGGAATTATCTAGCACTGACAGGAAATAAGGCATTCTTGGCAGTCAGTTTTCCAGATGACCACATTTAACTTTAAAATTGTATGTAAATCTGTTTTTAAAATATAAAACACACTTCCTCTTTTGCTTTAATTGTCTAAGGTTTCTTCACCAACTTGGGATCATAACTGCAGACGCTGTGACGTGGTCCAGTGTGTGGGGATCCCTGCCCTGCCCTGCAACAGCTCCAGCCCCCCACCACCACCGTTCCCTTCCTGCTAAGGTGCAGCTGTCACCAGGCACAGCAAGGACCTCTCCCAGCGGGAAACAGGAAATAAGATAATGCGCAGGGTGCAAATGAACCTGTCATTATGGCCCTAAGGTAAGAGCTTCCAGGTGGCTCCTATTAAAAACATCCCAATCCAATCCTGCAATTTTCCTCTCTGCTTCCTTCTCACACATAGCTGTGATCTGTAGAGGTGGGAGTTCCCTGAACACAGGCTACCAGATGAATGGAGCCTCAGGAAACTAAACATTGATGTCTTCTTCCACAAAATCACTTGATCGCTTAAGATTTCAGTACCGAATTTCATCTTACAGAAAGAGAAATACAGTATTAAAACACATACCCCCTAAAGCCTGCTATTGAGCAAATTCTTCAGGAGATTTATATGACTGTGCTTAGTTGCTTAACACCTGAAACACAACATGTATTAAACACTGTCATTGAACAATGATGCAATAATGATGTTTTGTAAACTCAGACCTAATCTACAAACCAGATAGTGTGATGAAGGCCAAAGGCACTTAAGAAACACTTGCCTTAGTCTAAATGCAATCTTGTCCCAACATCCTATCTTGGTCCCTAACCCAAACTGAGGCAGGAGATTAGGGCATGGCCAGACAGCTGGCAAGTGGACATAACCTGTCAATCATGGAGATGCAGGACACATTTGGCCAAGCCCTGCACCTAGGACCAATCAGAAAATTCTATCTTCAATTCCCCTGGCAGGAGACCAATCAGGTTTTTGATAGGCTGACCTAGATCTGATGTCTGCATGAAGAGTACAAAAGATGGTGGCCATCAACCTTGTGCCCACTGTGCCATCTCCCCTCAGAGGCCCGCTCTCACTCGGCAGAGCATACTTCTTTTCCTGTCTTTAATAGCAGTGAAACCTCACTGTCTTTTGCACATGTCTTGACCAATTCTTTGTTCAGGACGAGAACCTGGAAAGAACCTCTAGAAGGAGCTCAGCACCCCATATCCCAGTAACACAACCAAGAGAGGGAAAGGATAAATCCCGCTTTGCACATCAGCATTCACACCCACCAGCATCTGGCTGCTTACAGGTATCCCATTTCCTGTGTCCCTGTCCCCACAAATGTAAACTCAGCGGGAGGGCAGTTTCTATGTCAGTTTTTGGCACTTTCCAGAGCCTGCCACAGAAACCTCTACCAGCTAGTGTTTCCAAAGTGTGAGAGAATGAATGTAAGTCTCATTCGTTCATTCATTCATTCATTCATCTCTAAGTCTCTAATATTCCCTCTCCTACACCAGCCCTCCCTCCCTGTCACACCCCGGGAGGGTGAAGAAGCAGTCTATTCCATGAGCATCCTCAGGTATCTGTATTAAGCAGTAGTATAAAAGACAGAATCACTATTTTATCAGTATTTTAGCTCTATTTCATAACCTAACCTCACAGTAAGGTTCCAAGGAAAACTGATGTTTACTTTCTTACGTATCACTGATAAATAAAGATGAGGCATCTGTTTTGAACACACACAGTGCTAACATAGAAGCAGTATGGCCTCACCCTGATAGTGAGAACAGATGCATAATCACAGTGAGAAATTACTTTGTGCATTTTTTTTTTTGGTACCGGGCATCGAACTTGGGTCCTTGTGCTTGCGAGGCAGGCGGCGGAACCACTGAGCTAAATCTCTGGCCCTCCTTTGTGTATTTTAACTACACTAATCAGCTTTTACCTTTCTGAAATTGATGTGCCAATTGGAATATTGAAGTCAGAATACTACCTCAGGTTTCTGTTCACTTTGAACTCAGACATTTACGCTTTGGTAAAAATTACTGAGACCATACTATTCCGCATCCAAGAATACCTAGTCCTCATTCTTTCATGCCTGGTGCCACCTGTTTACCACGCAGCACCAGCTTATTCACATAAGTTCTTCTACAGCAAACTAAAATATTCCCTTGATACCTGTTAACTTTGGATTTTTTCCAGTTGACATTTTTAATACCCAAATCCACATATGATTCACCAAGTTCTATATTTGATTCTCCTTCTGAGTCACTTGGGAGTATTCCTAGTTTTGCAGCAGATTCATAGAGAGAAATTTCATCTTTTAGTTCTGTTAATTCCGCCTGGAACATAGAAGTATCGAAGATAATTCCCGTTACTTTCGTGTATGAAGAAATCAGTCATTCTGTGTTTCAGATTTTAATGATCAGCAGAAGCAGAAAGCGCCAAGCGCATGCTTGTAACAGGTAAGTCATATCCCTTGTGGGGAGTTGTCTCGTCCGCACTACATCTCAGTGCCTTTTACCCCTCTCCTCCCATTCTCTCCCCTTCTTCCACCTCTTAGCCCCCTTCCCATTTGCAAGCTATCCATCCTCTTATTTCCTGCTATCTATCTTCTATTTTGTTCGCTATTTGTACTTTGGTTTCTCATAGAGGAGGAACCACGTGATATCTAAGCCTGTGTCTGATTTCTTTCTTTTAGCATTATGGTCTCAGCTGTACCCATTTTCCCTTAAATGACTCAAGCTTAACCTTCTTTATGGCAGAATAATAGTCCATGGTGTGTATACACCACATTTTCTTTATCCAGTCATCTGTGATGGATATACAGGCCACTCCCAAGATTTAGCTATTATAAGCTGTGCTGCTATAAACATGGTTATTCTCCCCTTTCATCAGTAAATATAAATAGCACTGGAGAAGAATGTGAGAGAATGACAGCTAAACTAAACGTTCTACACACACGGATCAACTTATTTCTGGGACACCCAACAGACAAAAGGCTGGGCCCTGGAAAGGGGCAGACCTGGCCTTGCACACCAGACAGTGTTGGTGGGATGGTAAACAACTCCCATGGGCTGGTGTGGAGGGCCAAGCTCCTCCCTATGCAGAGATATCGGACTCAAAACGCTGACGTTGCCCTACCTACCCTGGATACCCAGAGTGCCCCGTCTGGGGGGATGTGCTCACCTGTAGGGCCTTGTTCATGTTTTCACTCAGCACATGTGCTTTCTGTGCCTGCTGCAGCTGGAGCCGCAACTGGGCCACCTCTTGGATGGAGCCTGCAGGGGAGAGGGCACAGGGCAAGCTGAGTGCAAGGGCACAGAGTGCCTATAGCCTGCAGCGCTCAGGCTGCTGAGCTCCACTTTAGCACCACGAGCTCTTCAGCTAACACCATGAAGGTATCAGGACAACGGGGCCCAAAGGCACAGGCTGGTCCCGACCTTCCCAGGACTTTGTACAGCAGGGGCTACAGGATGACCTTGTTAGAGATCAAATGAGCCACATCTACAGACCGTGGCACTCCCTGGGGGCCTTTAATAGGCACTTGACATCCCAATTCATAGAAAGCCAAAGAAAAATGTTCTTTGGAACACATTTCTACCCTGCAAGAAGAAAACTACATCTTGCTGGCTTTCGAGTCTTTCTAAATGCTCTTATTTCCACCACTCCAAGATCTTCATGGGGAAGAAATATGTTAGTGCAGTGCTTCTAGAACATCAGCAAACTGACATTCTAGTGTATGAGGGAAGGTTCCCATTTCAAAGGGACTTCACTGGGTTTCTGCCACAGAAAATGCCCATCTCAGAAACAGTTAAGTGAAGTGATCGTGACATATTATGCAGCTAAAAACAGTCCTACTTTCAAGGCCTTTAATGGCCAAGAAAACAGCACACCAAGAAATGCCACTGAGAAACAAGAATACATACAAACATACATGAGGTGTGATTGAAAACTACAGTGAATCTTAAAAATTTATTACAGTAAAAGACACATTGTCCTCCTTGCTTTGAACACACATATCCCATGGTTCTTGCCACTTTCTGAAGCAGTTCTAGAAGTTCTCTGTCGGAAGTGTCTTCAGCAGTGCTGTCCCAGCTGCCTCTATGTACTGAATTGATTTATGGTGACTTGACTTTGGGGAAGGGCCAGAAGTCACGTGGTACCAGATCTGGTGAATAAGGTGGATGAGGACACAGCATCATGCTTTTATGGGCCTGGCTCTCCATCGTACAGCACTTGGCAACATCACACATTGTATTTTTGATCCATGCTTGTAAAGATATTTACAAAAGAGGACTTCCAGAACGGCCACAGGATAAGTGTTTTGAAGGGAAGGAAGTGTTTTGAGAGGGATTTGTGGCAATGTGTCTTTTACTATAAAAAATATTTTTAAATTTAAATAGTCACTGTATTTTTCGATCACCTCCTGTGTGCATGCTTGACTTCAGTACTTTCAACATTGAGGGTTAACCATTCTTTGACATATGGCACCAACAGTGTGAACTGTTTCTCGTATACCCAAGTGTGGCTTTCATGTACTCTTAATGAGTAACAGATGACCTATCTTGACAGTGTGAGCTCTTCACCAAAAAAGAGTGTACAAGCCTATATACCAAGCAGTTTTTATACATTTGATTATTTTTTTGCCTTTTATTCTAACATCATTTCATTAAAAATAAGAAGAAAGAGGATGGGCACAGTGGCGCAGGCCTGCAATCCCAGCACCCTGAGAGGCTGAGGCAGGAGGGTCACAAGTGTGAGCCCCTCTTGGGCAACTCAGCAAAAGCTTGTCTCAAAATATAAAAAATGTAAAGGGCTAGGAATGTGCAAAGCGCCTAGGTTCAATCCCTAGTACCACTAAATAAATAAGTAAGGAGAAATAGAATACCTGCCGGCACCAAAATGAATATGTCTCAAAACTAATACCACAGGGACCATGTTAGAAATCTGACACACAACAAAAATGTGATTCTTGCCTGAATGACTAAGTAAGTAGAGATTCTACCATGAGGGGGGGACATACCGAAGAGGTTCTATAAAAGAATAGAATCATATGATCAAATATTGGGTCTAAAAAACAAAATATAATGGGATTTTGGAATCATTCTCAGCTTTCGGGGACAGAACTGACATGTTTAACATATATTGTATTGTTGCGTTTTGCATAATTGGCCTTAGCACATTTTCAAAGACGTATGGTACACAGAAGTGGGGCATCATCTATGTGTACGTGCATTTCATTTGAAGGAAACACATCCGGACTTCAACGATACTTTTCCAAGTAGTGGGATGGTTGGCTATATTTATTTGGTACTCTACGTGTCTGCATTCTCCAGATCACTTACAGAATGAATTACAGGCGTAATGATATATTTTTAGAGAAGAGAAACTTGGCGCTGCTCGTGTTTCCTAACTCTCGGAACACACTGCCCGCAGACCGTGGGCACCTATACCTGACTGCAGCAGGTGGGCGCACTGCTTCTGCGTCTCCTCCAGGCTCCTCGACAGCCTGCTGATGACCTCGGTCTTCTCCACTCTGGTAGCTTCTTGATTCCTTTCCAGCTGTTTCACGTGGTCTTTTAAATGAGAGCAGATGTCTTCCTAAGTAGAAAAAGAGTTTCATGGTGAATCCTAAGAAATGCGGAACTGAAGAAGTTGATCCATCACTGGATTTTCAGTCAAATATGAAATCACCACAGAAAGGAGTGCACGCGGCTGGACATCAGGAGAAGACATTTACGGGATCTTGGTGAGACTCTCCTCTTGGTCTACTTCCTCTTTGTAATTATGCTAGTAAAGTACAAATTAGACAATTTATTAGGCCCCTTCTACTCCACATTCACAAGACACTGTTATTTTAAGTTAGGTTTTACTGCTGCCAAAAGAAATGTATTACATTCCTATTTGCATTTTATGGTGTCATGTAAGTGTGCGCAGGCACACCTAGCCAGGCCGCCTGGAATCACAGAATTTGTATCCCAAGACAGCAAGGACACAGATAAACACAAGGAAACCCATTCTGTTCTGAGCAGCCAGAAGCTTATTCTGTTCAGAGAGGCCAAGAATAATCTTTCTCTCCTCTGAACTTCTTTTAAACTGTTTCTGTTTAAAATGATCTGTTTCTCGTGTTTCTCTTTCTACCTTTTACACCCATTTCTCTTAACTGTCTCCTTGAGGGTACCTCTGCCTTGCAGTACACATAGCAGGTGCTACAATGAACACATGAAATATAAATGACAGGAGAGAGAGAATGACTACTTGTGTATCTATGTATGTGCATGTGTGACTGTGCAGCGATGTATTAAAATACAGACTGTAGGGATGGGGTATAGTTCAGTGGTATAGTGTTTGCCTAGAAGGCACAAGGCCCTGGGTTTGATCCTCGGCACTAAAAGACAGAAGGATGGGGGGGGGGGTGGAAGGGAGGGAGGCAGGCAGGCAGGCAGGCAATAAGGGTGTATATAGTATAGTCAAGTTTCTCTAAAAAAGAAAGTGCATTTGCAAATAATGAGCCATGGGAATGCCACACCCAGGTAGAAGGAAGCATCGCCTCTCATCTAGAAAGGCTATGTAGGGTGAATTCCAGGCAAATAGGAGAGCATGGGAAAGGGTGAGGAACGAATAAGGTTACTGGCTGAAATTTCCTGAAAGAAACTCAAAGAAAACAAATACAACAATAAGAGGAATATCAAGGAAGACCTTTGAAGCGGAGAGAATGCTCAGCCTGCGGTGCCTATAGCCCAAGAATGCTTTCAGGCACAAACACGAGTCCCTCCCGAAAAGAGACCAATGCACAGCTCGAGCAGAGGAAGGGGACTCTGGAGGCCCTCATTTTAACTTAAAAATTCATGTGAATTTTGTATTCTATTTAGTAATGGAGCCCATGTTTGCTTTAAGTTTTTTCTGCCAAATTTTTGAGCAGAATGAGCTTCTGGAAACCTGGCCATGTTTGTTCAGCACTGCAAACGTCTTGGCACAGTGCTGCGGACTCGGGGCCAACTTGAGACGCGGGTCCTCAAGTGCCGGGGAACATGGCAGACCCCGCAGCAGCTCATGCCATGACTGCGTGAACCTGTGTGCGAGAAGGGTGGGGAGACAGCACACATCACAAGAGGCCGGGGACCAGGAGTAAGGGAAGGTAGACACAAGAAACACTGAAGAAAAGTCAGACTTTGCCAATCATTTGACTATTTGAGATTAAACCACAGTGTATCCTGTTGCCAACTTAGAGAAACTGATTATACTCGTGAAGTTATAGTTTTAAAAACAAAAACAAAGAAAAAGATGAGCAGTCCCTCTTTCCCATGATTAGCTTGAGTGAGAACACTTAGTTCAGGACTAAAAGGGGCAGACATCTTTTAAGACTGAACAAGATGAGTGTGAGAGGAAAGAGATAACAGTTGAATCTGTGGGAGAATTGAACAGCATTCCAGCGCAGAGAAAAATGAGGACTAGACAATACACAAGAAGTCTCTTCACCAACCACAAAGTTTTCAAAGGCGAGTCCTTAAATGCAACATGAAAGGACATACAGAAGATAGACCAAGCAAAGGTCATGACAGAGAAACAAAAGCCCATGAAGATTTTATAGTTCCAGAACAAAGGAAGGTATTACAGCACCAAGGAGGTAACCAGAGATTGTTATGGCTTGTGTACAGATGTCCCCCAAAGCCTCAAGTGCTCATAGGCCAGGCTTTTCAGAGGAGGCTGGATCTAGGGTGTGAATATATGGATTAAGCATGTGATAGGTAAATTGGTCCACTGATTGGTTTATCATAGTTGTAGGTGTAGATAATGGGAAGGGCCACTCTGGATGTAGGTGGCCTCTAGGCCTGTAGCCTGGCTGGTAGCCTGGACGGGATACAAGTCTGGAAGGCTCACTGTTTGCTTTTCCTGCCTACCCTGCCATGGACTGTTGCCCTCCTGCCATGCTTCCCTGCCTGGGGTCCAGCTGACAATGTACTGAAATCTCTACAAACTGTGAGCTAAAATAAATCCTTCCTCCTGTAACTTGTGGGCATTGAGTATTTTGTGCCAACAACAAGAGAAGTAGCTAAGACAGAGATCTTAACATGATACTTCCACAAATAAAGGAAGGTAGAAGGCAGTTTGGAGAAATAACCAGAGAACTTACTGAGACCAGGACACTTCTCCAAATGGGAGAAAACGGTCCAGGGATAGTTTCTATTAAAGAGCTACACCCTACACCATGGGCTCCAAGGACCTCAACTCAAGAGGAACTCAGCCAAAGTAAAAAGAATCCTTACAATATGTTGTGCGGACCATCTTTTCTACGCAGGAAAGATGTCTTAAGGAAAATATTAAATTAATATAATTTTAAAAGCCCTACATTTTTCAATGTATACTAGGTACACAGATATTTTTTAAAAATATATCATGGTAGGGGCCAGGGATTTAGCTCAGTGGTTTCAGCGCCTGCCTTGCAAGCACAAGGTCCCGAGTTCGATCCCTGGTACCAAAAAAAAAAAAATATATATATATATATCATGGATTGCTACTCCTCCCATTACATGGCATCAGACAGCTTCTGTGTTAAATTTTGTCTTTTAATTATAATTAAATACCCATTAATGATCAAAACTAGGTCTTGAGAGGAACTTCCCAACTTGATTAAAGGGAGAGGGAGAGGGAGAGAACTCAACCTCAATTTAATATTATGCTTAATAGTGAAAATCTGAAACTTTTCCACAAAATTAGGTATAAGGCAAGGATGTTCTCTCACCCCTGTTTTGCAACATCAACCTAGAGTTTTGAACCAATGCAGTAAGGCGAGAAAAGAAAATGAAAGGTATACAGATTGGGGGAAAAAAAAGAAAAAGAAAAAAAAACTGTCTCCTGAAACTAATATGTGATTATAGCAGAGTTATGGGATACAAGGTTGAAAAAACAGTCAATCATTTTCCCATGTACCAGCAATGAGCAAGTAGAATTTGATGATCAAACATAATACCATTTACATTAACAGCTCCAAAATGAGGTATAAATCTATAAAACTCTCATGAAAGAAATCAATGAAGAACTACATAAATGGACAGAGGTTACAAGTTCATGACAGGAACACTTAATATCATCAAGGTGTGACTTCTTTCCAACTTTATATAGCCAATGGCATCCCAATCAAAAGCCCAGCGAGTTATTTTGTGGATACCAATAAAGTAAATGTCTAAAATGTATTATATGGAGACTCCCATGCATCACCACTACTCTGGTGGCAATATGTTATTTCAAAAGCTTCTACTATGGAGCGAGGGTGCGGGGTTGACGGGAATAAAGAATACAGGGGCTCAGACACTAGAAATTCCTTCCAGCCTGGCCCCAGTGTAACTGTCGCAGGCAGCAGAGAACAGGCAGCTCTCCAGGTAACCCACACGCCTACCCTTCTACCCACCCAAGAAAGACCACTGTCCACCCTAACGATACGGCACCACCCTGTGTTTGCTCAAAACTAATATAAATAAGCATGCACATAAACAACATTTTAGAAAATAAAAGTGCATCTCAAATCCCATGTGTTTAAATATTCTGTAGACTTTGCTATAATTTGCCATAGTGCTCATCTTTTCTCATCCCTATATGCACCCCACGATGATCAAATGCACAATATTTTTCTATATAAAAGAATAAAAACATAATTGGTAAAAACCTACAAAAACTTTTAAAGACATATAAAATAAAATGGTAGATGCACAATTATTATTGCCAGTAATGTAATCCTACATGGGTCTACCTAGGAGCATGGAAAATTAAGAGTTAGCTGTGTAAGTCAAAAATAACAACCCCAATCACGATGAATGCTAGGGACTGGTAGGGTTTTCTATACCCTCATTTCTTATTCTGTCCCTTACCCTTGGGGCATATTAATTCTAAAATTACATTAGGAAAAATGAATTTTGAAATTTTTTTCATTTAAATGACTACCTAAGGTTTCATTTAAACCCACTACCTAATTCAACCTCAGCTTATTTTATTCCCTTCTAGACAAAAATAAGTGATTAAAATATGCTCAAGTTTCAAATCTCAATTGAGTTTAGATTAGATTTTCCCCATTACACTGTTGGTTTAGTATCTTTTATCCAAAATGTTCCAATTTTAGAGTATCTGCATAAACATAATGAGGTATCTCAAGCAAGGGATCCAAGCTTACACATGAAATTCACTTATGTTCATATCCACCTTCCACAGACACTGAGCCCGAAGGTCATATTATACAATACTTTAGCACACATGGGTTTCAACTGCGACCTGTCACAGGGGTCAGGGGTATAATTTTCCACTGAGGTGCCATGTCAGCCACATGGAGCATTCTGGACTTCAGATTTTCACACTGGGAATTCTCAACCTGTGTTCTCAAAATTAACTCTCCTCCCAAAAGCCATTTCCCAGCTGTCCTTATTGACAGATGAATTCCCAGATGCTGGGAGGCCTATGGAAGGCTTGCTAGGGGTTCAGACCCCTGGGCCACCTCTTGGGCTCTGGCCAGCCCCCAGCACATGCATCCCTTTCATTCAGGATCCAGGACAACATGAACAACATGCATAAATACCCTACAAATAGTGGGCCAGCAATGGGAGACTGGAGGAAGTACTGACCAGTCCTACCAAAAGAAGGGTTTCCAAAATTATACCTTCAGAACAGTCATAGATTCAAAAATCACTGCCTTTGAGGTTTCACTTACAATCTAACACCTACTAAAAACCTCCAAGATTTCCATGTAAGTAACCACAAAACACCACCAGCCTAAAAAAAAAACAAAAAAAACACCACCAGCATTTCATGTTGATAACAGTTGCTCATTTAAGATCATCCCAACCTGTTCCTTAAGGGCAGCAACCGTAGCATCCAAATTCTCCTGTAAGGACAACGCCTGCTCCTCATACTTCTTCGTGAGGCCCGTGACAATGCTCTCGTGCTGTTCTCGGGCTCGCTGGAGTGACTCAGAGTGACGAAGGTCCAACAGTTGCTGCTTCAAGCTCTCCAGAGCCATTTCAGTTGTCCGGGACTTCTTGATCAGCTGCAGAACACACAACAGGATATCCGTGTTGATAGGATCTTAACTCTGTGCTCGACATGGGCTTTAAAACTCAACCATGCTTTAATAAGAAGAAAGAAGGGGTCCTTGACCCCTTTCCTTGAAAGACTGGTGAAACCTGCCAATGATCATTTGCTAAAAACAAAGTTTTTTGGGTTTTGTTTTCTGAGACAGGATCTCACTATGTTGCTTTGAACTCCTGGGCTCAAGTGATCCTCCTGCCTTATACTCTCAAGAAGCCAGGCCCACAGGCATGTTCGGCCAGACCCAACTGAAAATAAAGGTCTAAGAGCACAGTTGGTACTGTAGGTGAAATAATGGTCCCTAAAGAATTCCGTAATCCCCCAAATCTATGAATATATTATATTAAAAGGCAACAGAAAGTTAAAGTTGCAGATGGAATTAAAGTTACTAATCAGATGATCTTAAAAAAAGATTATCCAGGGGCCAGGGATTTAGCTCAGTGGTTCTGGCACCTGCCTTGCAAGTGCAAGGTCCTGAGTTCAATCCCCGGTACCAAAAAAAAGATTATCCAGGGCCAGGGATTTAGCTCAGTGATTCCAGGGCCGGGGATTTAGCTCAGTGGTTCCAGCACTTTCCTCCCAAGTGCAAGGTCCCAAATTCAATCCCTGGTACCAAAAATAGAACAAAAAAAACCAAAACAAGATTATCCAGGCATGGTGGCACGTATCTATAATCCCAGCACTTTGGGAAGCTGAGGCAAGAGGATCAGAGTTCTGAGCCCAGTCTGGGCGACAATAACTCAGCAAGACCCTGTCTCAAAATAAAGTTTATTTAAAAAGGGCTGGGATGTAGCTCAATCCAAAGCCCTGGGTTCAATCTCCAGTACCACAAAAAAGAAAAGAGAGAACAACAGATTATCCTGGATTATCCAGGTAGGCCCAGGATAACCACAAGGGTCTACAACTGAGGCAGAAAGGTCAGAACCAAGGAAACACAACCGAAAGGGACAACAATGCAGGCAACCTCTAGCCACTCAAAAAAGCAAGAAAATGGACTCTTCCTGGAGCCCCAGAAAGCAATGCCACCCTGCTGACACCTAGGTTTTAGACTAGTAAGAAAGATCCTGGTCAGACTTCTGACCACCAGAACCATGAGATAAACCGGAATTGCTTCAAGACATTGGTAATCTGTTATAGCCACAATAGGAAACTATATAGAGTTGGTGATTCTACTGCCTTTAGTTTTTGCTATTCTATTTTTTAAATAAATGCAATTTCTAATTTATGTAAGAGTATAAAGTTATGGCCTTTTACTATAGAAAGGCAATTTCGCGTTTTAATCTAATAAGTTTGTCAATTTCAAAAAAGTTAAAAGTAATCCACATCATACACAAAAATTTAAATTTCAAGTGACGGCTATTCTTCATCGTGTTCCAGAGGGCCTCCCATTTCTTCATTTGCTCAATAAGTAGTAACAGCTGCTTCGTGCCAGGCAGAGGGTTCTAAGTATAGTGAACCTCAGTTCACAAACTTGAATCTTTCCACAATTCTGGTCACAAACTGAGTTGGATAAAAACTGAATCAAATTCGGTTAGGTTCATCGTTGAACTAATGGGGAAATTTGAGTCGGTTCTTGTCCAGTTCGGTTTGTGACCAGAATCATAGAGAGACCTGACTGCCTACCTCAGGGTAGGTAACCAAACTTGAAACTTTTTCCAAAACTCAACAGCTGTCTAGTCCATCAATCAAAGAGTGTGTCACCACTTTAAAACGCAAGTCTAAAGAATAGTTCCCCAAACAGCTAAGCTCTTCCAATAGCTTCCCAGGATAAAGACTCTGAAAGGAATATTTGGCCAGGAAATTTGGCTTCTGATGCTTCCTGGACTTGTGCTTGTGAGTAAGAAATTTGCTCTAACTCACTTATGAAATGATAAAATAGAAAGCCTTGCTCATCAAAATTCCAAGACTTTAACAAAACATAAGAAGTTGACTTGCAAGATCCAGACAGGAAAATGAGAAAAAGTTACAAAATTTTTGAATATTAAGGGCAGTCCTTGTTTACCAATTTCAAAACACACCATAAAGCTAGACACAATTAATAGTATTAGAGGAGGAATAGAAAAATGTACAATAAAAAATACACACACACACTCACACACACACACACACAAGGGACGTTGATTTTGAACCACACACCCACTCAACATGCTGCCCACCAAGCACATGCCAGGCGCTGGCCTTGGTGGTGACACCTCCAGTGTCCTCAGTCTATCAGAACAGATGCGAACACCCGGCTTGAGGAAGAAAGCAGAGACTGGAAAAGAAAACCTGTGAGAAGAGGCTGATTACTGGGACAGCAGTGAGCTGGGGAAAGGGCACTCCACAGAGGAGCTGACCTGCGCAAGTAGATTAACAACTACCAGCGGCAGAGTGTGCAGGCAGAAAGGGAATAATCAAGGATCCGGTGGCCATCTTGGCACTGCATTTTGTCCCACAGGTAAAGTGGGGTCATTGAAAGGGTCTAAGCAAGGAACGACAAAATCAGTATTCTAGAAAGATTACCCAGGTAGCCATAAGGCAATCTGTGGAAGGCATAAAAGACTAGAGAAGCAAAGAGTTTGACAACAAAAAGCTAAGACCCTGAGGAGATGAAGAGACATCAACAGAACTTAGTGGCTGACTGGGCGAAGGGGAAGACGGGAGTGGATGCCTCCTCAGGACATCCACAGATGACCGCCCTCCTCTAAGGTAAGACAAGAAGCGAGCGTGCAGTGGAGGAACCTACAAACTTCTGAACAGCCCTACTCTTTTAAGAGTTTCACTAAGGAAACAAAATTTTCACTTTACTTTTTTTTTTTGGTACTGGGGACCAAACTCAGGTCCGCGTGCTTGCGCAGCAGGCGGTGAAACTACTGAGCTAAATCCCCGGCCCTCACTTTACTTTTTACCAAAAATCACCTTAAAACATTTACCTTTTCTTCGTTGACTTTTAATGCTTGTATTTGGGTCTCCAGTGCTGTGATTTGTGCTTCAAGCTGTATCTCCCTTTCCTTCCCACTCTGAAAGAGCTTCTGTGATTCTCGAAGGCTGAGGGTCAAACCATCTTTCTCATCTAGGGCATTAAAAACATCTTATAAATAATATGTTGTTGTACAGGGACTTTAATTCCCACAGTCCCTATCAGATCTGTATAATATACGTGTTGTTGAATTAAATTTTCACACAAATGAACTTTAGTTGATTTAGAGAAAACCAGAAAAAAAAAGATTAAAAAACTACTTTAATGACTTGAAAAATATTTTAGAGAACCAACATCACTGCCTTAAATTTTTACTATATTCTCCTTGGGGCCAAAGATTTCCTCACAATTTCAGCATTTGTTTAACTGAGAAGCTATATAGATGGAACAAACCCTGATCAAACAATGTATCTAAGAACTAATCACTTCCTAAATATACTTGCCATGAACCCTTTAATTCACCTAATCTCAAATTCTTCCCAAAAACTTTGCTGTAAAAGCTAACAAGCTCTCAAAGTCAATGTTATAAGCATTACAGAAAAAGAGCTTTTCACTATTAATTTAATTTGAAATGAGCTACAGTTCAGTCACAAAACTGATCCACAAATCAAAGGTAGACACTGACCAAAACTAGAGCAGGAAGAGAAAGCAACTGTCATTCACACCCGTACTTCCCCTGTGGCATTATGCCACAGTGGCAACATTCTCCCCTTGGCACACCTACGAGGGCTCCAGGCCCCAAACTCCTGCTGGGCTCCACATGCATATGCTCATCTGCAGGCTCAGACAATGCTGCACTGCAAACTACACAAGGCACACTGAGAAGGGAACACCTCACCCACAGTAACCACATAACGGCGTCAGCAGCTTGGGGGCAGGTTGCTGTCAGCACAGATAAATACTGGTCTTGATTCTACCAGCGTAAGAGAAAAGAGGAGGGGGCAAAATGAGGGAAAGAAGAAACGAAATAAGACTGGGACTGCAAAATAGTACATTCAGGAGGAGGAAAGTGATCCAAGCAAGGACTCAGAAGTCCTGGATTTATGTTTTGGTCTGACTTGCTATGACCCTCTGACCAAGGAGAGTGAGGTTACTGGAAATGAAAAACATGGAAATGTCAAACATGAAAAGCAAAATGAGGTTATGAGGAACAAGATGCCTAGATTCGCTATAGCTCATAAATCACAGTACCCAGCACTTACAATCTTACCTTTGATTATCAGAAGCTGGTGATTCAGGTAGCGGATTTGACGTTCACTTTCATTTAATTTCTCAGCTAAGTTGTCCAGCTGTCTCTCTTTTGCTTTGTTAAGAACCCGAAGCTGAACAATCTGCATATTCTCTGCACAATCTGCTTTAGAATTAAAGATACCTTATTAGATAAAAACAGACCAAAATGTAAATGTGTGGTCATTTAGGACAGTTTTTCAAACTGTGGATATAAGGTCTCAGAGCATCATGAAATCAGTTCAGTGGATGGTAACTAGCAGTTTTTTAAAAATGAAGAGAGAACAAAATAGAACATATCAGAGTGCATCATGTACTAAAAAAAGTATTTTGTGAAAGGTTTGTTGCATTTATTGTGACAGCTAGGCTGTCAACTCATCTTGAGAGCCCCCCACTCTGGGTGTGTCTGGGTGGATCATGAGCAGGGATTTGGGGTCCTTGCCTGGCCCCTTCCTCTCAGGCGCTGTTCCCCTGATCTGCTTCCTGGCTGCCATGAGTTGAGCAGCTTTGCTCCGCCACAACCTTCCACCACGAGGTGTTCCTGCTCTGGGGCAGCTGACCATGCACTGACATCCCCGTAACTGTGAAGCAAATTCAACTGGCCTCTTCTACGTTGCAGGTGTCAGGTATTTTGTACCAGCAATAGAAAGCCTGATGAATATACTTATATACATTGATTTATATTGTAGATTGTAACACAACACAAAAAATGAACTCCTTACTATGGGTCACTGCCACAAACGTGTGAAAGTCACTGGTTTAGTGTAAGCTGGAAACACTACCAATGTAGTCAATTAAAAACCAGTATATAACAACTACAATGGAGTGGAGTAATAATACATTCTCATAAAATTGAAAACAAGAAAGCACATCAGCTTCTATAACAACATTTTAAAGAAAATGTCTAGATATCCTTCTCAAACTATTTTATCTTTATCAAGAGTGGGAAATACATTGTACTTACATTGATGTTGGTACACAACTGCTGTATTAACTCATGAGTAGAGCAATAAAGAATTTTGAAGTCTTTCACAAAGTCATAACAATTGGTAGAGAAGGATAATACTTCAATACATAATGGTCAATATTCTTCATTTTTACTAGGCTATATTCCTGTAAGCTTAGATGTACTCAGGAAGTTTTAGCTACTTGCTAATAAAATAATTCAGTCCTCTTTTGAACAGACATACGGTTAAATCAAAACACCCAAATACTGAAAACTTGGTCACAGGTCAAACTCCTCTCAGGCCTTCCAGCAGGGCTAGCCCAGAAATAAACAGTCTCCAAGCTCCACCTTTCTTCAAACTCATTTTTTAAAAATTACTCTTGCTAAGAAGCTGTAATCACCAAAGTTGGCACTACCACTAATTAATTTCCAAATGTCAAATTTAGACAAACGTGTAACCACCTTAAAAAAGAATCAACTTGATAAAAGGCAGACTGTCGGGAAGGTGATGAGAAATCAGACACGCAAAAGGACCAGGAGGTAGAAACATAGCTCAGTACAGGGGAACAGAGGGATGTCAGGCCATGCTGTGACACTGATGCGACCTAAAACCAGTCATGCCACACACACTGGTGACTTCCTCATTCCATAAAAGCTTATGAACAAAGAGAGACCAACTCTTCCAATGAACATGAGTTTGGGGCCTGGCCCATAGTTATTCTATGTCCTATGAACTCACAGCAGAGCAGTCAAATTTTCTTGGTGCCATGGCCCAGGTGACCCAATGTATCCAGTTTCACTTTTCCCCACTAATAAAAGAAAGAAAATCACACACACACACACACCTTGCAGTCATACTCTAGAATCTAGAACCACAGTGGCTCTTCAACATGCACAATCATTAGGAGTTATTTAATGTGCCAAAGAGATGATAATAAAAGCTAGATGCACAAAAACAGTAGTTCTGGATAATCACTATATAAATTTTGATTTTTTTTAATACCAAAGCATTTCATTCAAAATTCTCTACTAGAAACAAGCACTTTTCTTACTGTCATGTATAAGTACATTCTACCAAAAATTAAAATAAAAAACACCTGGAGAGAGATCTAGGTCAAATTCTGAGTGTTTTATTACACCAAAACCATAAAATTCAAAAGAAAAATGAGAACAAGATTGGCTGATTTATTAAATTTCATTTTTAAAAAATGAAAAATTTGAGATTGATGAGAAAACTATATTTCAGTTTGTACAGTAGACTTCAGTAAGAAAAATACGAAAATCTTGAAACGTTTTTACAAACTAGAATGATTAAGGTACATACAGTAATCATAAAAATTTTGTTTTAACTTTCTTTTACGATGGAAAATGTCAAACGTGAGAATAACACATAAAAAAATCCCCACGAACTCATCTCCTGGCGTCAACAATTACGAACCCACGCCCAGTTTTGCTGCAATACTCCTGCCCAACATTTATTTACTTCCAACAACACATTTTAAGTAAATTCTAGACCTCTTGTTAGTTTATTCATAAACACATCTGTATATGTACATACTTCTAAAAACAAAGGCTCTTTGAAATGTCAAACACGATTCTACTGTCCTATTTAAAAAATAATTCTTGAACATGCACATAAATATCCACTGTGTTCAAAATTTCCCCATTATGTTATAAAATAAATATAAACACGATACTCACTTTCATTAGCTCCTAAAAATTGTTGTTGCAGGCCTTCAAACGTGTCACTTCCCACTATCTCCTGGCTTGGCGAGCCATTATTCTGGACAGAAGGTTGATACGGTTTATATGTCACTTTATATGGGTCCAAAGCTTGACCACTAGGACCTTGTGTTGAACCAAATTGCTATTGTAATATGACAAATGAAAACAATTAGGATTTGGCCTTCTCTTCCAAAATTATTACAATTAGGCACCTTAATTTTATGCTATAGAAGGTAATTGTGGTACAATTACAGTTTTTTATAGACATCTTTGCTCAAAATGGTATTTATTGTTACTTAACACTGTTAATTCCTTCACTATAGTTTTGCACACATAAGGGAGCCAACCTCATACCTAAACCTCAAGAAATCCAATGGTGGGGGGGAGGGGGGATTCCAGGCCAGGGATTCAGTGCAGTGGCACCGCGCCTGCCTTGTAACCAGAAGGTCCTGAGTTCGATCCCCCATACCGAAGGAAAAAAAAAAGAATTCCAATGAGATTGTACGTATTTTATTACATCAATGGAGAGGATGCCAACATCTTGGGAACATAAAAATGTACATGCTCAACAATAACATGTGATACAATGCCTCAGATGTAAGTAAATAAATATTCAGTAACTTAGGGAATGAATAACATTTTCCAGAGATAGAATTGAGAGACAATAATTACCTTGAGTGGACCCAAAAAATTACCCTGAAACTGAATGACCCAGAATAGCAATCAGCAAGATGAGGCATTTGCTGTCATCAAGAAAATCTAAGAATTCTAAGAAGCAACTAGCTCTAGCCTTAGGTAGATCCAATGTCTTAGTTCATTAAACTCTCCCACAGTGAAAACCAGGTGCTTTTTCCTTAACATCCATCCTGCCTGCTGCTCTCACACCGTACAAAACAGGCACCAACTCTGAAATGTCTGACCTAAAATTTGTTGTGAGCACTAAGAAAACTGACACAACTAAAGGCTGTGGTCTACATAAAATTACTGTTTTAAACACTATACCAAGATGCCTACGCATCGTTTCTCACTGAAGCACAGGGAACTGGTAGAAGCCAGGACCAGCAGTAAATGACGAGTTATTCTCTGGCAGACTTAACTTCTAATGCTGAAATAACCGTTTCCAAAACTTGTATTTTAAACTTTTGACTTTAGGTCAAAACTGCATTCAATCATAAACAGAAAATGGCATGACTGGTTCAGCATGAACGTGAATAAGTGCACTTTTAGAAATTTTTGCAGTAAAAACAAATCATCTTCCCATTGTACTCTCGTCCGTTTCTTAAGCATTCATATGTGACGCAAACGGATACACACACACATTCATATGTGACGCAAACGGAAACACACACACACAAATACACTTTTGAAAGTCAAATTCTTAACAATACCTGAAAATGGTTCCTTGGAGGATCTGAAAATTTAATTACATTGGTCGGCTGGGTATTGAACTCCTGCTTCTGACCATTCGTATATGGCCTGAAGTTCTCCGGCAGGTGATACAAATCGGTCTGTTCACATTTGCCTGGGGGACTATAACCACTTCCGCCTTCATCACCACCTTCCTCCGGGCGGTACCCAGGATGTCGGTCTTTAGCTTGACTTTGATTTTCTTCCCAGCCATGGCCACACGTCTCTCCTACATAACCCTGAATTTCATTACAGTCCCATTATTATACATAACAAGGGTAAAACACCAAGAAAATTCCCACCCAATTCCAATCCAAGCCATGGCCACGCTGGATACTTACATTTGCACTTGGAGATCTGGGCAGCACTCGGTGCGTATTCCAGTGCATCTCCAACTGCTCAGAAGGGTGTGGTCTTGAGAAAACAATCAGTAATTTAGATTTGAAGCTTACCATTTATTTGGATAGAGAAGAACACCAAGAGTCCAGTGTTTATTGTTTACCATTTGTTGCTTTTCCCTGCAACTTGCACCCCCAAATTTAAGAATCAGTCTGCAATTTTATAATCATGTACATTATGACCGGCAGAGAGTTAAAGGAAAAAGCCTTAGAGAATGGAATACACCAGGAAAAGTGAGGCGGGTCCTCACCGTCCCGCCGGGTCGTCCTCACTGCAGTCCGAGTCCTGGGGCTCGGGGGAGGAGAGGTCGTCATCCAGCATGTCGTGAGGAAGGTCTGTGAGCAGCTGCTGCAACTGAGGTGGGAGAGTGTGTCAGCTCCCACTGACAGAGACAGAAAGGGCTACACCGCCTCGCAAGGAGGGTGTGCACAAACCAAGGCCGTTTCTACGTCCTCCCCTTCACTAAGCTCTGAAATCCCACCTGAACTGTGTTCACCCTTTCACTTAAGGAAAGGGAAATGCATAACACCGGGCTTTATATTACAAGGCTTCGTCTTTTCTACCAAGTTCTCAGGTTTAAATATACATATATTACAAGAGAATTGAAAAACTTCTTTATGGAAATACAGCAAGAGATCGCAGTGGTGCAGTCACTGTGTTCTGCTGTCAGGGGCGGACTGGAGTCTGGGGGTCCGGTGTTAGCAGTAATCTGACCGCGGGGCCCTGAGTGGCAGCTGCACTCTGACAGGTGTGGGGAACGGCCCAGCAGGTGGCCTGGAAGCCCTTAAGCCCCCATAAGGAGCAGAAACCCCTGGGGACTGACTAATTAGTAGACAGCCATCTAACTCCAGTGATGAGAAGACATGCAATACTCTGCCCTCATAAAACGTGTGAGCAACAGGAGGGCTGGGGGCTTTGGGTTTGCTGCGGAGAGCACTTGCCAAAGCAGACGCTAAAACCCAGGGAGAACCACTCAACTTTGCTCTCCAACTTTATTCGAGAAAAATCACATTTGTAGCATCCTGTCTATATCAACTAAGCAGACAAAAAATATATTCAAGTTTCAAGATAAATATGACAAAGTTGTTGAATTTCAGTGTCAGCAATTATCTTTCTTCAGGTCCCAATATACTGTCTTAAAACATAAGCAGAAGATTCACATATTATGCTACTAGGTATAAATGACTCCTCCTTAAGAACTAAACCTGGGGCTGGGGGTGCAGCGCGGCAGTAGAGCACTTACTCAGCAAGTGCAAGGCCCTGAGTTTGATCCTCAGCACTGCAACAAAAAAGAAACTAAGCACCAGTTTAATTACCAAGTTGACTAAGTCCCTCCAGAGTATACAGATCAGTCCCTCAAAATTATGTAGTGAGTGAAATTTAAAGACATTAAATATGCTGTGAACCCGTTGAGGGAAAAATGGGATGCTCCTATTCTATAGGGAGTTTGTGTTTTTGTTCTTATTTTCCACTTTCTCTGTCACAAGTATAAACAAACAGGAATATAGATATAGTACAAATCTGAGTTTCATGTTTATAGAGTTTTTTTTAACTTTCTTAAATAATATATATGGTAAAAGATAAATATATTCTAAGAAAGCCCTGAAAAGAATGTCCTAAATCGTTAGCTATGTCTGGTGAAATATAACTCGGGAATGGGAATGAACTATGTGGGGAGAGTAGATATTTTTTCACTGCCATATATATTTCTGATATTCCTGGATTTAAAGGAAAAAAAAAAAGATTTTCTTAGTTCATCTGGTTTTTTAAATGAAACAAAGGAAAGATACACTTTCCGATGAAAAGTGATTTTCACTTTTAAGTATCCTTGATACATACTAATGTAAACAACCAAAAGCTTGATTTATTGCCTACCTGCTCATGCAGGGTAATCAAAAAATAATTTTGAGAATCAGCCATATCAGAGTTGACCCAAAATGCAAAGAATAAGAAGTGCGCGCGCACACACCGCTAAAAACAAAACAGAACACATCAACATCTAAGTATACTGCTTGCTTCAAATACCAAAACAATTTTACAAACACAAAATGCACGGGGCGGGAGGCCAGGGATGTAGCTCGGTGGTGCCACCACCTGCCTCACAAGCGCAAGGACCCGAGTTTGATCCCCGGTACAAAAAAAAAAAATGCACTAGGGAAGAAAATATATATGAGGTCTTTTTTTTTTTTAAGTTTTTTTTAGGGGGGGGTACCAGGGTTTGAATGCAGGACCTTGCACTTGTAAGGCAGGCGCTGGAACCACTGAGCTAAATCCCCGGCCCTCTATGAGATCTTTTTAATAGTGCAACCTGTTCTAATTATGCATCACTGCTTTAAGGGAAACCACCACCCCACATATGCAATACAGGGGAAAACAACACATTATACTCACTTCAAGTAAGGACTCTTGCAGAGAAAGAATATTTTCTTCTAAGCCTTCACTGAGGTTCAAGTACATAGCCTTATAATCCAGGGGGACTTTAACAGGGACAGCTGAACAGTACATTCCCTCTCACACTGACAGAAAAGCCCACATCATAGTGAAGCAGTTATTGCAGCTTGCTTTCTGATTTCACAAAATTAATGAAATTGGCTTCCGTGGAAGAAAATTAATGAGTAGTTATCAAAATGCTTCTGGATCCATAAATTTATCAACTAACAAAATCTATCCCTGTGGTATCTGAGTCGGATGTTTTACGTACATATAAAAATTTTAAACAGTTTTGTTCACCTTCAGAAAATGTCTCCATCAAGTTCTTTGGCATGGCTGGGTCTTACTTACTCCTTGATTTCCCTAACTTCAGAGCAGAGAGAAGCTAAAGGAGGCAACGTCTCCCTAATAAGGCCATTCAGGAACAAATTCTCACGCCAGCATTTCCATTTCCCAGGGTCAATGTGGGTCCTCCCCATCCCTGCTTTCAAATGGGTTTTGCTCTTAGTTATTACACCTTGTGCCACAAAACACAAAATTGCCATACTGGCCCATGCATGTTACCAAATAGAGAATTTCAGAAACTGTAAATTTTCTTCATTAAAGATACACCAACTTACAAATATGGATTCAAGGACAAAAAATGATAATCCTTTTAGGTGACAAGCTTTAACCCCACTCATAAATTTCTAATTCAATAGTCTGTTTTTTGGCTACTAGTACCACAGCAAACTTCCCAGTGAGATATTATTATCTACTGGCTGAATTTAATCATTTAAGAGATGCCTTCCTGGAAAAAAAGAGAATTTCCCATTGTTAAGGCTTCTTCTGAAATATATTCTGAAACAGTCTATAAACTCCTCTCCCTGGAAAAGACCCTTTGACCTATAGAAGATATATCTCTATATATATCCCCAAAACTAATGTAATCATAATGTACTGAAATGTATTGAAAACATATACCAATAAATAAATACATAAATTTCTCTCCCTTTACTACACATTTCTTTCCTTAAAAGAATAAAAACAGCCTTTAACTCAAAGAACTTCATCAGCAAAACATTTTACAGTAACCTTATGTTCAGGGAAGAATAAATGTGAGACAGACAGCAGGTAAACCCTCTGTTAAGATTTTCTACTTAAATTAACTGAACAGGTGTCATGGGAGCCTACCATGACCCCAGTACTGAGGAAAACAAGTGTTCTCGGATTACAAACCACACAGAACAGCTTCTCCCAGAGAAAAGCAGCACCTGGAGTAGCCACCACTCATCTTCCTGCACAATAGGCTACCTGGGCCGGGAGGAAGCTCAGTGGCGCCGCACCTGCCTGGCAAGCACAAGGTCCTAGGTTCGATCCCCAGTACTGGGGGCAGAATAGGCTACCTGGGGAGCACAATTCTGAAAAGATCCTGCTATTTAAAAAATACACTATGAAATAATGCCTTCATGGATACCTACCAACCTATTTTAACCAAAGAACCAAATTTAAAACCTGTTATAAACAGCATGTGAGAGGCCACTAGGACACGGGCTTTGTGTGAGAAAAAGTTTTATTCCTGTCCAGGTGTGAACAGAGACTGAAATCAGGGGCAGCTTTCAGCAGCTAGCTGGGAAGGAAACTAGGTTTATATACGTACTGAAGGGGCTAAGGAATCTGGGGTGAAAGGTTTATGACTGAGGGTGCAAGGACAGTCAGCGCAGTTGTGCCTGCAACCCTGGGCTCGCTGGCACCGGGCCACTGTCTATCCCATCCCTACATTTTCTCCATGGCCGTCTATCTTGGGGCTGGGTGTCTGCTCACAGATCTCATTCAGGCCAGGCATGACAAACCCTACTTGAAAAAGTACAATTTGGGATGGATAAAGGACCACAATTACTTGGCAGCTACATCTTCAGTTTATGAATTACGCTATGTTCAGAATACAAAGACCAAAAAAAGGAAAGGAAAATGTGACAGTCCTTGAAAAAGACCTGGATAGTATGGGGGGAAACTCACAAGACACAATCCAGATAAAGCATTAGAAATGGCTATGAAAAAACATAAGAAAAAATATATTAAGACACAACCATTTATTCTTGAATTTTCTTGGGGAACAAAAAAATTCAACTGAATAAGTCATATAATACAGAATGTAAATAAATGCAGCTTTACAACTCCCTCTAGTGGGAACAAGATACAAAAGGTTTCCAGGAAGACACCAAGCGAGGCAGGTAAGGGGAGGAGAAGTCTGAGGTGAAAACCCGGCCCCTAGGGCACAGGGCCCGGCCCGCCCGGGGAGCCGCACTGTTCTACCAGAGGAGCAGTGACAGCAAAACCACCCACGACCAAGGCAGCAGGACCGGGGCAGCTTTTTGTCTCCCGTCCGCCTCCCACACCACCTACCTTTCTGCTCCAGACCATTCTCAAACACATCATTACAATAAACCCTTATCAGCAGCAGTACCTCGAGGGCACGGGTGACCAGGTATCCGCCCCGAATTCGTACAGACAGACACAGGTCATTTTACTGCCCAGGCCTACGCAATACTCACAGAGCCACTTGTGGCACTGCAGGATGACTGGGACACTCCCAAACACCAACCGACCTTAAGTAAGCTGCGGCTTAACCAGTACGTCAGAAGCTTATCACAATCATTCTTATCACAAAATGACATCAAATCTCTGCCACAGCCAACTATGAAATCATGAAGAGTGATGACTTTAGGTGAAAAGCGTTTTTGGAAAGTCACATTATTACATTATGAATGGGTTAAGAAGAGAGCTTCTGAATTCTTTTCTGGGCCGGCTTTCTAAGTAGAAGGTTGCTTAAAATACTCTGATGAGTTCTACTTACTGAGTACCAAAAAGGGCAACACCAGCAGCCCTCCAGTGGTGCAGTGGAAACGAACTTGACTAAGAAGAAGCTGAGAGGACTGTGAAATGTGTGACACTAAGTGATGTGAATGCTGACATGACGGCCTACCTCCGTGGGGGCAGCTCACTGGCTGGACCCTAATCTGTGCACAGGCTGCCGAGACAGAGATGGCGGGACAGAGGGGAGGCTTGTGAAGCTGGCGCTTTTGCACCTCTGCTACGCCTTGGACCACGGTGGCCAAACTTTTCCCAAGGTACCACTAAGAGTTGCAGCAACTTAGAAATGACTACAGTGCCTTACTTCGCTGCAAAATTCTTGAAGGTTTTTGCAAAATATGGGTCTATTCATGGTCGTCTGTGGCTTGAGAGTTCCCTGGCCTAAATGTCTTCTGGATATTGTGTCACTTACTTGCTAACTCCTTTCCTTTGCTCAAGATTAAATACATTTTCTCCATCTGACCTTCAAGGCAAACAATGGGGGACAAAAAAAAATAGTAACAGAATAGCCAAAGACAAGATCATAATTGCTAATTAGGATGGCGTGGAGGTTGGAATTTGACAGTGGTTTTTCACTGGATGTGGATAAAAATCCTAACTGGCATCTTAGCAACAAAACTAAACACAGCTTGGCGAATCATGTTAGCACATTAGCAGCTAGCCATTCATACAAGGTCAAAATCGGGACCATGCTACCATTTGCAAAGAGCTCCCACAAACCCTTAGCAGGCTCTAGCACAAGGCAGATATGGTGTGCTTGGCCAGGCTCATAGCAACCATGAAGCACTGAACACAAAGTGATTCACTCAGCAGAGGAAGCAAGACACTGTGTTCCACTGCTAACATCACAGCCCAGTTGCAGTCCCAAAGCTACCAACCAGGCAGGTGTGAAAAGACCAGTTTGTTCTGTTTTACATGGTTTTTGTTTGTTTTTGACATAATGGAGACTGAATCCAGGACCTTCACACTGAGCTACATACCCAACCATTCATTCATTTAAATTTTGAAACAGGGAAGGTCTTGCTAAATTGCCTAGGTTGGGCTCAAACTTGCAATCCTCCTGCCTCAGCCTCACGGAGTGCTGGGATCACAGGCCTGAGCTAGCACACTTGGATTGCTGTTTTCTTTCATACCCCAAAGCTGTGAGGTCTTTTGCTCTCGTAGGGACAGGGAGACTGAGGAGCTAAACTTCCGGCCTGGCAAGCAAGCTGAGGCTGGATGGGCCAGCTTACTAGTTTAACTTGGAGTGACAAGGTGCACACATAGCTGAATTTTTAAGAATAATTCTAAAGTTTGTTACTGAAAATCTGAAACTTCTTGCCCTTAATCTCACTTTTCCTCTTGCAGCGATCATTTTCTTAAGTAGAAACATTTTTATTAACGTGAAGTTTCTGGGGATAGAACCACAATCGCCATCTATTCTTCTCTTCCAGTCCGTTGGGAGCGCTCATTCTTAGACACTTCAACTTCTCAGAGCCCTTCTCCTCTGCAACGAACCCATGTTCTGCACCCCAGAACACAACGTAGCAAACAGATGACCTCACTGGCTACTTTCCATATTACCGAGAATTAACTGCCTCCTCCATTAAGATCCCTTTAAAGTTTTCACCACACAGTGAAACCGGCAGTAAGGGCTGTCTAATACCCTACTCATCTCTAGTGCCCTTCCCAGTGAAGTCATCGTCAGAACATTTCTCCTTCTTCACACAGTGATTATTTAAACTGACCCACTCAGATCCCAGGGACTACACCCCAGTCAACGATCCAAAGCCATCGGGGTCATGCAAGTCTCATGCTGCAGGTTCACAAAGTAAGAAAATCCTCATCCCTGTCTTTGCCTCCATGGTGGCTGGAGAGGCACCTGCCGCAATTCAGACACCACTGCCAGGGTCACCAACTCAAGTGCTCTCAAGGGACCCGGCAGAACCTTCCCAAGAGCAAAGCAGGCAGTGTGAGGACAGGTGTCCCTGAGAGCTGCAGGGGCTGCGGCCAGCCGGGTAAGGAGAGCCACTGTCCCCTGAGAGCCTATCTGCTGCCACGCCAAATACTGACTGCCAGAGGGCCACGGGAGAGGTTCCCAGCCAGGCCGGGGCCTCAGAGCGCTACGTGAAATTTAGCACTATGCTCAGACCAAGTGAGCTCGGGTCTCCTTCTCTCCAAGCCACGTGGCGTGGTCACCTGCCCTTTTCCCTGCTCCTGCTCCTGGTGAATATCCTCACTGCTGAGAAGGATTACTTTACATCTTAGGAAGTAGGTCAGATCAAGCCTTGTCTCAGCACACAAGATGCCATTTCTCACAGTCGTTCAAACTAAAAACAAGATCATTCCTGCCACTATTACTGCCCCCATTTAGGGGCAGTCACCATGGAACAAGCATTTGGCTAAGCACCTCATATGGAAATACTATGATCTCCTCTCATTCCTTTCCTTTTTAACTCTATTTACCATGCAGAATTCCAAACGATCTTTCAAAAATATGATGGGCTATGGCTTCCCTGCTTCAAATCCTCCCTGGCTTCCCGTGCGTGTGGGTTAAAACACAAAGGACTCGCCTGCGATTCCCAGGCCGGGCCAGCCCACACTCTGCCCCTGCTCCCTCCCTCTGTCCACGGTGCACAGCTGGACCCCTGTGGGGGCTTTGCCCTAGCATGCTTGTCCCTGCTTCTGCGAGGCTGGGCCCTCAGAGGCCTCCCTGCCACCTGCTGTCCCCCGCCCGCTTCACCTGTCTGCCTCCGGCAGGGAGGTACCACGGCAAGATTCCAAGCACCTGAAACCAGGTGTCTCCTTCCAAAGCCCGCTACTGCCATTCTAGACGCAAAGTTCTTAAAGAATTCAACCAATGTGGAACCCAATGGTATCACTAAGTTGTTGTTTTATTCTTATTCCAGAAAAACAAGCAGTCCCCTCATCTGCCTTTTAAAGGTCCAAATGTCAAATTTTACGGTTTTGCTTTGTTTCACTTATTTACTTTTGTTGTTTTGTTTTGCAGTACTGAGTGCTGAACCCTGGGTCTCTACACTGAGCTACATCCCCAGCCTTTTTGGTTTTTTTTGTTTTGTTTTGTTTTTTGGTACTGGGGATTGAACTCGGGACCTTGCGCTTGCGTGGCAGACACCAGAACCACTGAGCTAAATCCCTGGCCCAATCCCCAGCCTTTTTACACTTATTTGGAGACAAGGTCTTGCTCAGTTACCTGCAGTTGGGTACTCGAGATCCTCCTGCTTCAGCCTCCCAGAGTGTGTTTTGTTTTAAGGAATTGTAAGTCTCTTCAAAATGACTCAGGTGACATAATTTTGATCAGCAAATAAAAAAGCGGCAAAGGAGTGAGGAGTATAAGGTCTTTTTTCTGAATAACTTACCTCTTTCTCCCTTTCATAGTCTTCTTTGTCATATTCTTCATCTTCGTTTTGTGTTTGTAGGGCCACACTGCCAAAGTCCAATGACATGGTCCTCCTGCAGGGAGGGAACGGTGACTGGTTTCCACACAGCTCGCCAAGCCTCTCCAGGAGAAACTACAAAAGGGTGTCACGCACAGAACCACGAGGAACAGGCTGGGGGAAAGGATTCTTAACACACACATGATAAACACTATTCTAAATACAGAGTTCTTACAAGTTCATTGTGATTCATAGAAACATCTGTATGTCAGCAATTCAAAAACTTTAAGTTGCAAATAGGTAATAAAACCATGAAGATTCTGCTAGAGTTTGGGAAAACACAACCTAAAACAGGTTTTTTCACAACAGAAAATAAGATGATGATAATAATGATGCCCTAGGGGAATGCCAAACATAAAAACCTTAAGAATAAATTCAAACAAATTTCCAAGGTCTGTGTGAACCATGGCATAGGTAGTATAACCTCTATAATTTGCTTCATTCTTTGAATACCATGAATCCAAATTTCATGCTTTATAAACAGAGCTCCTAAATCATAAGTAATGATTGCTACCCAGAAACCATTCAGAATCTGGTAAAACCATAGAGCACACAACAGAAATCTAAGCATCAAATATCTTGCTCTTAAGCTTAATTAAAAAAAAAATCAGTTTCTGGCAAAATACTCGGGAAAGACAGAAGTGAAGGCCACAATTCAACAGCAGCAAGTGATGGATTTTCAAGCACTTACACTCAAGAAGGCTGATTATTTAAATTACACTTAGGGATCCTGACACTACACATAAACCCCCCAGGATTTCAAAAACCCTGAGCAAGTCTGACAAAAAAAATAGGCGGGTGTCCTCAATTACCTGGCCGGATCCACACTCCCTTCGGTCCACCCCTCTGGCAAGCAAAAGGCACTGTGAGGGGCTCAACCACAGGCATCCACTGGGCTTCCAGACTCTCAAACGCCACTAAACCGGAAGTCACAGAGAACCCAGCAGCCCAAATGCATTCTGCCATAAAAAACTGAACTCCTTTGTGTTAACCGCTGAGATCTGCATCACACACTTTTATGCAAACCAATAGCTCCACAGCAAGAGAGATCCCATTCACCAGATTTCACCCGGATTGTAGGATGTTCTTCCATTTGTACACTAAGTAAAAACCACCAGCTAAACAATGGCACATCATTAATCTTAAAACACAGCCAAGTGCATAGATGTTAAAAATGTGAAAAGGAAATGTGTACCTTAGAATAAATGTTGCATTAAAAATGTAACACAAATATGAATGTCAGTGCTAAAAATCCCATGTGCCAATTTTTTGCTTTTTGTTTTTTCAGAGGCTGATGTTTCCTGCCCAACCTCTCACTTTCAGCCTCTTTCTCTGACCCCTGCATCCAGCTTATATCATCCCAAACTTTTCACATCAGCCTAAACCCTTCCAGCCTCCACTTCTTAGATCAGAAATTCTTATTCCTCCCTACTCCCATGCACAGACAAAGGAAGAGGGGACAGAAAAACTCTCATTAAGAAAAAACATACAGAAGTCTGGGGAATATAACTCCTTTGCTCTCCCTAGAACCATAAGAATTTTCTTCTGTATCAGCATACCGTGAAGAGCCTGTAACAAGGCTGCAGTGCTGAAGGGGAAACACAATCTTGTGTATCCAGACTTTTTTTGCTACTGCAAGTAGCCACCAGGTCTGCAGAATCTACAGATAGTGAAAACAACCTAACCCACCACCATAAAGGGGCGAGAGTAATTCTGTAGAAAGAAATAACCCTTTTGACTTATTTTCCTACTATGTTCTCCACCTCTTCTTTCATTTAACTATAAATTCGAGACAATAGAGAATTTGGGTTCAGTTCTCCTGTTAAATATAGGACAGGGTTTTCTCAGTCCTTTATTAGTCTACCCTTAGTTGATTGTGAATACTGAAAAAGGACAACACGATTTACAAGAGCCCATTGCAAAATACAAACACTACTATATTATACACCAAGCTGCTTTTTCTCAAGAAATGCATGACTTCTATAGTGTTTTTATTTTTAAGTGAAGAGTATGTAAGAGACCAAAATGCATTTTTAAATGACGTTAAATCCAAACTTTGTCCTTAAATATCTGAAAATATCAAAGTCTTTCCCATTGGGAGAAGGTGTAAATAAGTTCTCCTTCTAAAAAGTGTAAACTACCAGAAACTAAGAAACAAGTTTAGGCATGATCAACTTACTGTGGTTTAAAAAAAAAAAAAAAAACAACACTATAGTACTAAGCATTTTAGCTGAGATTCAAAATAAAAGCTAACTTTTTAACAGACTATTCACCACTAATTAACACTGCTATTAGGGATTTCCTATAATATTCAGAACAATAAAAGGGAGTACTTAGAAAAAATAGCAAGGTAATAAAACCAAAAACTTCTTATAAGAACTTCAGGGAAGGCTAACCACAGGGGAAAAAAAAAAAAACTTGTACAAGGCAAAAGACAATAAGTCAAGTATTATGTGTCAAAAAAACATATCACTAAAAAAAAGTCAAAAAATTAAATTACAATAATGAGAAAAGTGTTTGTAAAACACATGACAAAATCTTAACAATTTTTGCAAAGACATGAGAAAGACAACCCAATTTTAAAATGGACAAATGACATCATTAAAAAAGAAATGTAAATGCTCAATTAACTTGAAAAAAAATGCCGAACTCATTAAGAATTCAAAGTGTCGTTTAAACAACCAAATGCCATTTTCAACTGCTAGGATGAAAAAAAAAAAGACGCTAACACCTAGTGTTGGCTATTTTGCCTTTTGTGTACCTCATGAACTGCTGGCAAAAATAACAAATGCTCAAACTGTTGAGAATTATCATTATGAATATACTTAAAGAAACATTTCCCCTGATGTAATATAATTACTTATTAATTAATTCAGCAATACTCTGTCACTAGTAAAAATAATGAAATTTTTCTGTATTTATTTACTCAGAGGGTTGGCCATTTAAAAAATCAAGATGCAGAGTAAGTGGACAGGATGCTTTTTAAAAACATAGCATTCTGTTAAGACTTTAAACTAGCCCAGCATGATGGCCCAAAATCTAGGCATTCTGGGAAGCTGAGGCAGGAGGATGGAAAGTTCAAGCCCAGTGTAGGCAAAGTAGTGTGACTCAGCAAAACCCCATCTCAGCCTTGGGTTCAATCCCCAGTACTGGAAAAAAACAAAAACAAACACACAGCAACTAGTCCTCTGCTCGAGCCCTCTGTTGTCCAGGGTTGGTTTTCTTTTGTTTACCTCCTTGGAGCAAGAAGAAAACCAGGAGGTGTTTAGCTGGAGAAAAGCTAGTGCAAAAATAGCACAATTTTCAAATCATCTAATAAACCATAGGCACCCAGAAGGTAGAATTAAAATGCATCTGTCCCTTGAACATGGTAGATACACTACAGTATTTGCTGAATTAATATGGTGCATGCATGCATGTTATTGTATAGGAAATATTTCAATAAAATTGTACTGACTACTACCGAGTGCCAGATTAGATCCCAGATGCATCTAAGATGTGGACCAGCCACAGTAAGTTCAGGGTCTCTTAGGGGGACAATGACATAAACTAAGCACTGTCACATTATAAATTCTGGAAAATCCAAAGCACAAATTAACTCTGCCTAAGAAGAAAAGAAGGCTTGGAGAAGTTTCATAGAAAGAAGAGCCTTCTGATTAGAAATTCACTTCAAAGGACACAACACGGCTAAGTGGTCAAAAAAAATGAGGGGGCTCATTCCAACAATCTGGGCCACACTTCAACTCTCTTCTATGTATCAGCTGCGCAGTCTTAGGCACATTGCTTCCATTTCTTCATCAAAGAAATGGGGACAAAAACAATGGCCACCTATATGGAGGAACGGTGTGTGGACAGCTTGTGGGAAACCTTACTTCCAACAATGCAACCTCCTCTCCGATGCAAACGTCTCCCTCTTTCCAATCCCGGTTCTCCGCGAAAACAGTCACTCCTTGGCACTTTCAGGCTGCATTTCTTTTCGTATGCTTCAGCTTCAGTCTCTTACTCAGTTGGAAGCAGTCCCCGCCAAGGGAGCGCGCGGATCAGACTGAAGCTCTTCACTACAGCACAGGGAGGGTTAGATGTCACGGTGGGCGGTAGGGAATGGCCCTAGGATGAGGAAAGTCTGCTTATTTGCTGACACCTGGCTACCACGAAAACAGACACCCAGAGCACCCAGCCCGTTTCTGACCGCAACATCCGGCTGAAGAGGCCCATTCAGCCACCATTTACCACCCCTGCCCAGGATTAGGAAGCGCAAGGTGAGGGAAACCGAGCAGACACGGAAAGAGACGGTGACAACGCCCTTTGTTCGGCGCTGGCGACAGCAGCTGGGGCAGATCGAGTGAGCACGGGCAAAGGAGGGAGCGGGCAGTCCCGCAGGCACCCTCGGGCCTTACGAGGGGCGCGGGCCGGCGCCACTGGGCGCAGCGCACGGAACGGGAGCCCGGGCTGCCGGCCGCGGAGCCAGCGTCCACACACGTGCACAGAGCGCCACTGTGACAGGGCCCGGTCTCCGGAGACAGCGGGGCCTCCGTACGACACTGCGGGGCGGAAGCCTGGAGGAAGCAGAGGGCGCGCGGGTAGCTTCCGAGCCCGGGCCGAGCCCAGGCCGCCCCTGCCCAACCCGGCGGCCGGCACCAGCCCTCCCGGAAGCCCTCACCGGGATCCCGAGGGCCCCACAGCTCCCCGACCCACTCCAGGCCCAGCTGCGAGACAGGACTCACCGGAGGCCACACCGCTGTCCCCGCGGGGAAACTCTAGCCCCGGCCGGGAACAACTTCTAGCAAACCCGCACACCCTGACCCTCACCCGAGAGCGCCTGCCTAGTCACAACCAAAGTATCCCTAGGCTTCTGAAGAGCAGCCGCCTCCTCCAATCACCAGCTAGAAGGTCGCCTGGTGGGCGGGGACACGCCGGCTCCGGGCGGGGTAAGGAGTCGGAAGTCTCCGCCCCCCGCAAGCTTGGTTGAGAAGTCCGCCTGCGGTTGTAAATGCACTGCTGTTTGAAGCTGGCGCCAGAGGTGGCGGGAAGCTACAGCTGCGCGCCCATTGGTAAATCCGCAAGCCAATTACGAGAGGGCTGGTTCCGGGTGGGCGGGCGTATCGGTTGCCTAGAGATGCGGTCGCTTCACTGGTTTCCTTGGGTTTGGGACCAGTGCCCGGTCCTCAGCTCTTTCTCCTCCAGAGCCCCAGCCCTGGGCTGAAGCGCCCAGAATCCCTGTTCCCCCACCGCACTCTTGCCATAGAGGTTTTCGCATTTACTTTTGTCTCTGAGATGCCAACGGCAGTCTTAGGTGCTGTTTTGCTTTGTCTTTTGGCTTCCCAGGGCCGCCTTGTTTCCTGTTTCCCTGCGGTGGAGACGCACGCTCACCAGCTGTCACTCACCGTGCACGCGGCTGTCCTCGGTGTCCTCTGGAAGGCGTACGTTAACCCGCCCTGACAGCGCCTGCCAGCCCAGTGGACGCACAGCAGCAGGTCCAACCATCCTATAACCCTTTCCCCCGTGCCCTGTCACGCAGCTCCCCATCTGGCCGGTCTAACTTTGCCTCCCACCGCCGCACCCCATGATGCCTACCCTGCGCCCTAACCAGGCCCTTAATCCAGGGGAACGGAGTGAATGAAACCACAGGCTGCCGAGAGGCCCGGGAACTTTCTCTCCCAGGCATGGCCCTCCCGACCTCACCTCTCCACCTGCTCAGGCTTCCGAGGAGCACACCCTTCCTCCGCAGTCTTCCCTCGCACACTCCACCTCCTTGGAAGACACAATCCTCCCTGCCTCCGTACAGTGTCCGTCCTGGTATGGGATGGGAGGGCCAATGTGCCTGTCACGGTAGTTACTGCACATGCACCCCACTCAGTAGACAGAGGGAACATCTCCAAGAGGCTTCCTTACTCTGCTTCTTAGCCAGCTCCTGCCTAGCATGCCTTGTTCCCTGGGAGGCACTCAAAGCAATTGTGAGAAACTGTGCTAAATGAGTAAATGAATGAAGGAACAAATAAATGAAGACTACTGGGGCCAGGAAAAGCAAATGAAAGGATTCAAGTAAATGGCACTCATTGAACCTGAGGGAAGGATCTGTTAGTGAGAACTAGCCTCAGGCAATCTCCATAACCACAGCAGTCCCTCAGCAAACTGAGTCCAGGGTCCACTTGTGCAGAGGACTGTGAAGAGTGCTGCAATGAGAACACTAACTGACGCTGGCCACAAGCAACTGCTTCTCAGAAAGATCAAAGCAGAGAATCCCTTCCTAGTGCAGCACAGTTTGGTAAGTGCTTTCATGAGCATTATCTCATTTGGGTGCTTACAATCACTGTAATATGACCCCAGTTTATGGTGGAAGAAGTTTACATTAGAAGGAAAGAAAGAAAAAAGAAATTAAGCAACCTACCCAAGGTCATATAACTAATACAAGACAGAATTTGAACCCAGGTCCTTTATCTCTAGAGTATGTCAACTACATGCAAAATATTTTAGGCTAGCATACAATTGACAGAAAGATGCAGAATAAAGAATAAATCAGCACCCTCTGCTTTTAAACATAGATCTGAGTAGAGCTATAAATACACTATAATTAACAAAATATTCTTTGGCTGCCTGTGTTGTTTTAAGTCCTGCCTTGGTGCTTGACTAGAAAGTGTAGGGCAGGACTCCTACTTTCAAGATACCAACATTCTGAGCACAAGATCCTTACATAGAAAGTGTCTTAGTTATTTTCCTGGTTGCTGAGACACAATACTTGACACCCACAATTTAAAGAAGGAAAGGTTTATTTGGCTCACAATTTGTAGAGATTTCAGTCCATAGTCAGCTGGCCCCAAGGTAGGGCAGCATGGTGGAGGGTTGTCACAGAGGAGAAACAGTCCTTGGCAGGGCAGGCAGGAAAAGAGAGATCAAGGAAGGAAACAAAGCAACACACCCTTCTAGGCCACACCCTCCCAGTAACCCTCTTCCTCCAAACCAGGATTCAACTCTCAATATCACATTTAGCTATGAATTCATCAGTGGACTGATCCAGTGGTGAGTATAACATTCCCATGATCTAATCACCTCCCAAAAGCCCCATCTATGAGCACATGAGGCTTGGGGTGGGGGTGGGGGGACATCTAAATACAAACCATTACAGAAAGACAAATAATAACACACAAGAGAAAAGCATTTATGAAGTTTAGTTTAAGTAGAGTAGGAACTAACTCAGGAAAATGAACATCTGAGGCTATACAAGCAAGGTTCCAGGAGGAAGAGGAGAGAGCACTAAGGAAATAGATTACCATGAGTGAGTGCACCACAGTGAATCCCAAACTTCTAGAAGTAAGGCTGGAGAAGTAGGCAGGGAAGATGATGGACTACACCACAATGTGGAGCCAGGAGTCATAGGGAAGGCATTAGAGAGAGGGAAAGTATGGTGTGGTTGAGGAAGCACTAGCAGACAGATATTCTAGGGTAGTAAACAAAAGAGAAAAAACTGCCAGAGATCTTAAATTCTCAGCAAATTAGTTGCGGAATGTTGGGTCAATATTTGCTTTGCATTTTTGTTTTTAATGGATACACCCATGGGCTGTGTCAATGCTCTGCTTCTACCAGACTTGTTTACATCTCAAGGGGAAATGTAAGAGTGTTGGTGAGATGGGGTCCCACTTACAAACAAGCATTTATAAAGGTGGAGCTAAGCCACCATTGCTCCTGTATCCTACTTCCTCTTTGGTGTCAAAGCAATCAGGACAAAACAATCTCATCACAAAGGCACTACCCAAAGTGCTATCACCAAGTAGTGCTGTCCTCAAAAAAGCACTTAATTGAGAGCAAGAAGATCAAGTTCAAGGTCCAGCTCTACCTCCTGGCTTTTGTCCACAATAATTTATTGAACCCTCAGAATCCTTATCTGAAAATAGCACTGATAAAAACTACTTCTCATACTTACCTGGCAGGGGAGATACCATGATCATGAAGGTGGTTTTCCCAGGGCAAGGCTTATCCATTGCACTCCGGATGTGCTGACCCCTGTGATTTCCCCAAATGTGGGAAACTTGACTGCATAATTTGTGGTAGTAGGGGACTGCGTTCATGCTTTCCCCTGTAAAAAAAAAAAAAAAAAGAAAAAGAAAAAAGAAAAAAAAACTACTTCTCAGAATTGTGGGAAAGAAGAAATGAGGAGAAATTGTGTGGAAGATTTTCAATGTAAAAACACTAAAGCTTATTTTCTATGGTGTCCCTATAAACTATGGCTCTTTGCACTAGAGCACACGCTGGGCCTGAGGGAGTGAAAGAAATCATGGCATAACTGGGATGACCAAGCACTAAAGCATTCTGGAGGTCAGTGGCAGAGAAAGAAAGAAGGATGCATGCAGAGGGCAAAAGGAGCTAATGGAATGGAGCAAAGCAAACAAGAGTCTACACAAAGGTTGTGGCTTTATAAGAACAAACAGAAAGCAGAAAACACTAAAGATGGAAACTCCAGTGCCTGGAAAGAATGGAGGGATATTAGATCATTATTTGTAGTTCATCAACTTAACAGTATTGTTTGAACACATATTTTGTGACAGCCATGTTCTGGAGGATTATTGAAGACTGACACCTGGGTATGAGGCATGAGATTAGGGCATGGCAACCTGGCTGGACAACAAGGTATCACCTGTCAATTACAGAGACCTGATACCAATTGGAGAATTCTGTCTTCAGTTCTGGTGCAAGAGCAAGCCAAGCCCTGCACCTGATACTAATCTTCTGGCATGAGATCAAGTGAGTTTTTGGTGGGATGGCCTAGATCTGATGTCAGAATGGGAACAGAAAGTATGGTGATCATTAAGCTTGTGGCTGTTATGAACCCTTTCACCAGCCTGCCCTGCACTCTGCAGGGTATAGTACTTCTTTCTACTTTACCTGGGCTATACTCACTTAGAAGGGTCCTTCTTTGCAGAGCACTTTTTCTTTATGAGCACTTTTGCATTTCTTTTTCCTCTTCTTTTCCTCTTCTTTTGCCCGGCACAAACATTAAACTTTCACATTCATCAGTCATCCCATCCAGTTCTTTGAACGGGACAGTAAGAGCCTGGAAAGGACTACTGGTGACTACAGTTTCCAGTAGCAGGTCAAAGGCCTGAGCTGCTCAAGCCCTTTCCCACAGAACTTGCCCCTGCTCGCAGCCATTGTGACCGTACTGCCAGCAGTCCCTGGCACCCTTGTCTCGGCTCTACTTGGTTAGATCATGGTGCACAGCAGACCCAATACAGCTCCTCATATTCCCCTCCCAGATAACCAGAACAGAACTCCATGGAACCAAAGAAGGTGGGAGCCGTATGGGAGAGAAGCAGGCTCTTATGTGTTCAAGGGAGCTAGGCAGCCACTATAGCCACATCGTGTATTGGCGGGGCCTGGATAAAGACTGTGAACTTCTGCTACTGCAAGACAGGAATCTGCCTGGTTCCTGTGCTTTGAGAAGCCTAGCAGTTCATCTTTTCCTTAGATTCAGTCATATCTGAACTTTAAAATATTGTTTAAAGTGAGCTGATTTAGATCATGTAGAAGTTGAATACTGTTCCCCCAAATTCATGTCTACCTGGACTCTAAGAATATCTCCTTATTTAGAAAAAGATGTAATTAGTTAACATGAGGTCATCCTGATTAGAGTGGGCACTAAACTAATGGCCAATGTCCTTAGAAGAGGACACAGACCCACAGGGACAGCCATGTGGGCGTGGAGACAGTGATTGGAGTTGTGTTGCCATGAGCCAAGGAACAACTGGGCTTTGAGGTGCTCCAAAAGGCAAAGATTGTTCCCCAGAACCTGTGGACAGAGCAAGGCCCTGCCAACCCCTTGATTTCAGACTTCCAGCTTCCTGGAAGAGAAGTAAAATTATATTGTTTCAAGTACCTTGTGATACTTTGTTACAACATCCCAGGAAATTAATACAGGCAGGGTTTTCCTCACAGACAAAACACTCAAAGCTAAGATGCATTCCTAATGACAGATTTCAGCAGTCTAGACCAGTGAACTCCAAATACGGTCCATGGCTCAGTGGTGTACCTCAAGCATCTTTCTGGTGGACCATTAAATGACACAAATGCCCAAGCCATTTCTTCAGTTATGAGAAAATACCATGCACATTTATAGGTTTTTACTTTCGCACACAACTAGGAATCCACCAACCTAGATATTAAGGGTTAGTAAAGTTTAGAATTTGTAAATTAAAACAACCGCACAACTGCTATTAACAGGTGTATCAGAAATGATTAGTCATCATTCATATGTCCAAGAGTCCAAAACTGCTGCTAGTCCACACTTAAAGGTAACTGGAATTCCTGCTTTGGGATAATGCTGTTAATAGTGCCATTCCCCAGGAGGTCATGGTTTTTAACTGCTGTTATTCTTCTTAGTTATTAACTATCTGTGCTTGGCTTCATAACTACACAGTTAGTTAATGTATGTAGACAAAGTATTAACTTAATGCAATGATACAATTCATAGTAAAAGGGCTTCCAGGAGAAAGCAGTAAGAAAGCGAGGAAGAGGTCAGGGATGGGAAAGAAGCCAAGCTGGGGTGTGATTCCAGGAGGAATGCTGGCTCCAGCTTGATCCCACAGTGAACTCTGAAGCGTCCTCAAAACTGCTAGGAGAACTGAGCTTTTGCACTTTTGCATTAGCCACGGTGACAGGGAGGGGCAAGGTGTGATACATAGGCACCTCTGGGTTCTGGCGATGCAGAGAGCCTGAGTCTGTCTTTAGAATGAAGTGACTGCAGCACGTAGTGATGACATTCATCATGGGGAACTGGTCCATCTCAGTCCTTTCCCTGTTACCTTCCCATCCCCTACGTCTTCCCCTTGCTCCCTCTTTTGGTCCTCTTCCCAAGGAAACATCTCTTTCTCTGTTTCCCATGCAGGGCTTCTTTTATAAGGGCATTCAGCTCACCACCTCCCGTGGCCCCACCTGCTGACACCATCACACGGTGTTGGGGGTCCACACATAAATTCGGTGGCAGCACAGTCAGATCATAGAACCCCTTCATCTGTTCTCCACTTTGTACTTTTTTTTTTTTTTTTTTGGTACCAGGGATCAAACTTGGGCCCTTGTGCAGCGAAACTGCTGAGCTAAATCCCCGGCCCTCTCCACTTTATACTTTAATTATTCCAAGCTATAAATACAGTTATGTAACATGTAAACTTTGGGGCTGGCTCTTTTCACTCCATGGTTCCCTAGAGATTCATCCCAGTGGTTGTGCCTCTCAATAGTTCTCTTTGTATTGCTGAGTAGTATTCCATAATACGGACGTACCATAACTTCTTCAACTATTTTTCTATGAAAGGACATCTGGGTTTCCAGCTTGGGATGGTTATGAACAAAGCTGCCAGGAATATTTCTGCACAAGTTTTCATTTTTCTGTGATCAATGCCCAAGAGTGCAGTTGCTGGGTTGGCTGCTACTTGCATGTTTTATTTTTCAATAAACTGCCAAACTGTTTTCCACTTTACGTTCTCATCTGATATATGTGCTCTACTTTCTTCTCTCCTAGCCAGAATTTGATGTTGTTTTCACCTCTCATTTTACCCATTCTGACAGTGCACAGTGATGCTTGCTGTGGTTTTAATGTGCATTTACAGCTCCACAGTGATGGTGAACATATTTTTATGTACTTGTTGTCCATCTGTTTATCTTCTCAGTGGAATGTGTGCTCATGTTTTTGCCCATTTTCTAATTAGACTTTACTGTTGAGTTGTATATATTCTAGATAGCTATATGCCTGATACGTGGTTTGCAGTTACTGTACCCTGTATTTTCTCCCAGCTTGTCACTTACCTCTCACCCTCCAATCAGTTTCATGGAGCAAAAATTTGTATTTCAGAACAAGTTCAATGTATCAGTTTTCCCCTTAATAGATCATGTTTTCTCTGAATTCCCTCCTAGACATGACTGTCCATGTACAAAATACCAAGGAATCAATCAAAAAGCCCACCAAAAGCAAAACAAAGAGAAACACTAACCCCCCAAAAAATAAACCAATAGAACTCCTAGAATTGATAAGCAAGTTTATCAAAATTCAGAGGACACAAGATAAGCATTCATTAGTATATCTATATACTATGCCAAATATTTTCTCTCATGTTTTTTTCTAAAAGTTTTATAGTTTTACACCTTATACTTAAGTCCATAATCCATGTAATTTAATGTTTATGTAAAGTGTGTGGTTCATTCTTACAGACGTTTGATTGCTCCAGCACCATTTATTGAAAGGCTGTTCTTCATCCAGAGTCACTTTTGAATCTTTGTAAAAATAGGTTGGACATAATTAGGTAGTTCTGAATTCTCTATTCCGTTCCACTGACCTTTGTGTTGCTTTCTCCAGCAATGCTAACTGTCCTGATTACTGCAATCATGTAAGTCTTGAAATCAGGTAGATTGATTCTTCCCGCTTTGCTTTTTCACACAATTGTTTCTAGTTCCTTTGCTTGTCTAAACTACAAAAAGTCTTGCTGGAATTGTGATGGGAAGTGCATTAAGTGTGTATTACCTTGGGGAGAATTGACATCTTTATTAAGTTAAATCTTCAAGAACATTCAATGTCTCTCCGTTTATTTAGATCTTCTATATCATTAATCAGCACTCTATAGCTTTCTGCATACATACTGTACATAGATTATATAATTATTATATCTAGATAATTATATATAGATTACAGATTATATCTCTATATATCTAATATATCTATATATCTACTATATCTATTATATATAGATTATTATATATTAGATGTATAATTATTCTTATATATTGATGTGTATTACTTGCAAAGATTTTGTTAAGGCTGTTTTCATCTCTGTTCACAGGGATATTAATTTATGGTTTTTTTTTTATACTGGGTCTGATCTTGATGTCAGAGTAATATTGGTTTCAAAAGATGAATTGAGAAGTGTTTCCTTCTCTGATGTTCTGGAAATGACTGCAGAGCATCGACATTAATTCTTTTAACAATGGACAGAGTTGTCCACTAAAATTAAGCCTAGGCTTTCTTTGGGGGAAGGTGTTGAATTGTATATTCAATTTTTTTTTTGGTACAAGGGATCAAACTTGGGACCTTGTGCTTGCGCAGCAGGTGGTGGAACCACTGAGTTAAATCCCCAGCCCCTGTATATTCAATTTTTCTTAGTGGCTATCAGGCTATTCAAATGGCCAATTTCATATCGGATGAACTGTCGTAGTTTGTACTTATTAAGGAATTGGTCTGTTTCATCTAAGTTGTCTAAGTAATGTGTGCAGAACTGTGTGTAACATTCCCTTCTTATTCTGTGTTTGTAGGGTCTAGAGTGCTAACCTCTTTCGTTCCCACCTTTTTCCTCACCTTACCAACTAATCCAGACCCTCTCTGATGCTTCAGAAGCTTGGCTATCACCAGAGTCCTGTATTTTGGTCAATTTCCCTTCCAGACTTTCCCTTACTTTTTCCCTGCTCCCCTGGGCCTCTGAGGCTGGCGATCAAGGCGCTCCCTTGCTCTGTCTTCAAGTTCCTTGAGCCAGCAGAGGACCTGAGCCAGTAGGAGATCAGACAGAGCCATCTCTCTGTGGAGTCACCTCGGCTGGCCACAGCCCTGCACCCCGGGCTCAGCTCCTAGAAGGCAATCCTTGCACACAACTGGCTCTCCAGGCTCTGAGCCTGCTCCCTGGGGGAAGGAGGAGGAGACAGAGCACTACCACTCCCTTGTGGTTTCCGTATGCTCTGCCCACAGTTTAAATCGTTCCTTTAATAAACTCTCCTCAAATTACCCAATTTCAGAGGGCCATCTGTTTCCTGCCAGGACTCCAATACCCTACAAATGGTAAAATTTCCAAATCCCAAACACCAGACATGTACTGTCAGTTGTCACAAAGCAATAATTATTTATTTGTTCTTTTAAAAAGTCATTTACAGGTATTTATAGGCAAATGGATTTCCACTCTAAAACAGATGAAAATGAGAAAGTGAGGTTAAAAGAGCATGCAGACATTTCCCGTTATTTTGTGTTGTTTTAACTGTGCCGAGGTATTTGTGAGTGCAGTATTTGCTTACCTAACTACTATACCATTACAGTCCAGGACTAACTACGTTTGTTTTCCGCTCTCACCACTAATGCTTTCTGCCTCAAGAACTCCTTGCTGCTCTGTCAACAATCTTTCTATCCAGCCCAACTGGACCCACCGCTTTGCCCTGTCTCCGATACGGGAGGTTAATTACTCACACGATTCTATTATCTCTACCCTTGCTGATTCCCTTTATGAGGAAAAAGGACCAAGAACTAAGTGTTTGGAAAACTGGTGATAAAGACACTATTTCCTACTCGTATAAAAGAAAACAGAGCCAGCTAATATCAATGGCAGAAGATAAAATCAGAAGCCTTTCCACAACAATGTTAGGGTACAATGGGCTCAGTGTTTAGATGACTTCTGTTCCAAACAACATAGAATCATAAAGATTAAGGCCGTGTCTACTCAGCCAGAATGAAATGAACTGAAGGCGTTGTCCAGATTCCTCAGGATGAAACAAACACGCAGACAAAACAAAACACTACTCTGTGTCGTGGCCACGTTTCTATATGCAGTGGCAAGGACACCTGTACTGTGCCACAGCTTCTGTGCCATGTGACTGTTGCTCTCAATTATGTCTTTTATGCTGAGAGTATAGAGAAGCTAAAGAAAAAAACTGAATGTTTAACCAACTGTACAGACTACTTAGGAGTACTGACCTCAAACAAATGAAACCTTGGTTATCGCAGGCGGGCACATGCTGTGTTAGGACTGAGGCGGATGTCAGAACTCACCCACCCACACACACACACAGCTTACTCATTTTATGGACATGAAAACTGGAACCCAGAGGGGTTGGGCAACTTGCTGAAGGTCACGGAGACATGCCCCGCCTGCTGCCTCTCCCCCACAAAATGCTAACTTTGCTGATCTTTGTAGAGTTGGTCTCCCTGCAGCAGACCTTTCCAACATCCCATTCAACGTGTTTCCTCTCTTCTGCAATTTGTCAGATCATATCTAGAGAAGGTACTAGGTCACATGCAGATGTTGACGCTATGATTCCGTGGCAGCCAATCCAAAGAAAAGTTCCCTACCCTGGGAACTAAATTCTGTACTTCCAATTAGGATGGAAGCAGTGTGGATATGGAGTCTGAAGAACTCTGGTTTTGTCTGCCATCCTTTACAAATCCAGCCCTCAGGTGCTCTTGTGGCAAGGACAGCAGGAGAAGATGATGAAAACAGAAGTGGCTCGTAGACCTGGCCTCTTCCTTGTGTTGCGGGCTGTATGCAAACAGTCCACACAGCAAAGACTGAGAATATGGGCTCTGGCCCTTCAACCAGAAAATAGGACAGACCAACGAGGCAGACTAACACTTTCAGTGGTTGCAATCCCACTGGTACAGACATGGTCTGGATTCAATGTCCTATTTATTCTGACACTGCAGTGAAAAATGTTACTAAACAGAAAATGTAATGAAGTCAGTTACTATCAAGTAAACTGCTTATTTGTTTTAGCAAGAAAAAACTGGGTTTTTTGGCAAATGGTTCTGTAGTTAAAGAACATGAAGACACTTGGAACTAACCTCTCCCTAGGAAAATACCCCCAAGTTATCAGGGTGAAAGGCACATACCACTGCCCCAGCAGTTCAAGTTGTCTTGAGCATGTGACATTTTAATTGTGCTTTTTGGCTTGTTACTGATGCGGCATGACTTTAGAAAGTGACATCCGTGCATATGTATAGTTTCTCTTCAAATGGATCAATCCTTCTCCGCTTTTCAGATTTTCATGTCCTGAAGGCTTTTTGTTAGTTCTTTGTTTTATAAAAGATCTAGTCCATTAGGGTCTCAGAAAGATGCATTTCACCGTCTGTGCTCCATTTAACCTAGAAGCAAAGTCGCAGTTATCTTTATGTCCTCGCATGAAATGGAGCTTGTTGAAATGCCACTGGGACCGTGCTCAATGCTGTCATTTCTTGAAATGCAAAAGTCCGGGGTTATCTTCTTTTCTCACCGGTTGTTTGAGGGTTACTTCGCTTCCAGAAGAGATGATGGGCAAACTGTTATCCATATGGTATCTGATAAGGTGCCCAACATTATCGAATACATGATCCTTGGTCCTCACCTTGAAAAGGAAGTATAAATATGCTTAGGTTAAATAACAGCATTCTTCTGGAAGATGTAAACAGTCAGAGAGGGAAAACAGACATATCCAGAAAGAAGACATGCTGATGACTACAGAAAAGTTTCTTTTCAACACTATATTTTTTAATAAATAATTTTCTCCTCCACTATCATCTTGTAGCAACCATCCTTAGTGGTTAGGAAAATGATTAGCACTTGGCCGTCAATCCAAATTTGCAATCTGCCTCTTTGCGATGTCATTGCTTAACATATTGCCTCATGTCACCATTTCTATAAATATTTAACTGTCTCCCCTCTACAAGTCTGAATTCCGGGATTGCAGTATTCTTCCATCGGGCAGAGAGAGTACTTCCACGTTTCCCTTTCCCTATATGAAGCACCCCTCTGGAGAAGCCCCGCCTCTCCTGGGAGGCTCAGTACCATCCTGTCTGCTCCAAGGCGCACCCTCGGGCTTCTCTAATAGGAATTCGTGTGTCCTTCCCACTGACTTCACACACAGGTGTTCATTCACAAGTATCTGTGGCATGGAACTTACTGTCTGCATACCCAAGGATTCAACTGTTTAACGCCCAACCTCCCTCCGTGGGTTTCCTCCCTGGCATTACTGTACTCCTCCCTGAGCCTGGGCACCCTGGCCCCGTCGGCTCGGAAGCCTGGTCCTACCTGTACTCCTGTGTAGGGGAGGATCCAGGAGCCATGCAGAGACGGAAAGCTGGTGGCCAGGTGTGACCACAGCGCCTGTGGTGTGACTGCTGCCTCCCCTACAAGGAACCTCGAGTTCTGCCTAGATATTGGGTCTCGAATCTTAAAATATATACACTGACTGCACTGAAAGAATTTTAATATGGACTCAGAATTAGATAATGGTGTTGTAGTGATATAAAATGTTTTGACTTGCACCACTGTACTGTAGCTATGAAAGAGAGCACACCTAGTCTTGGGAAACACATGTCGAGCACTGAGAAGGAAAGGGCGGAGTGGCTTCAGTTACAGACTACTCCGCACCTTGTAGGAGTTGTTGCCTCTTCCATCTCAGCCCCACCCCACTCCAATTCCACTGACTGATCTTGCCAGACTGGGTTCTTAATTCCAGCTCCCCCTGTGTCTCCTCTGTGTTTCTCCTGCTTCCATTCTGTGTGGGGGTAGGTAACTGGGGTTTGAATCCAGAGCCTCTGCACCAAGCTACATCCCTGGCTCTTTTCCCTAGGTTTTGGTTTGGTTTGGTTTGGTTTTTGACTAAGTCGTTAAGTTGCCCAGGCGGGGTTCAAACTTGCCACCCTCCTGCCTCAGCCTTCCAGACTGCATGCACCACCGGGCCAGCTTTCTCCTGCCTTGATTCTGATTCAGGCTTTCACTGCTTTTGTCCTAGAAGTCCCTAACTGCTTTTTCTGTCCCAGGTCTTCCCCACCCCAATCAACCCACATACAAATGTCAAATGAATCTTCCTAGCACAGAGGTTTTAAGCTGGCTGCTACCCTGGATGTTGCAGTTAGGGGTTAGTTAGGGGTCACCGTAGAGGGGTTTAAGTATTTACACTTTAATTATGTATGGCTTCTTTGGAAGAATTAGCTCCGGCCCCACCAGGGCTCTCCTGGGCGTGGTGGCCACAGAATGCCAAGGGGACAGAGCCCACAGCCCCCGCAACACTCTCTCCGCCCACCCTATTGTCTGCACCGGCCAGCTGCACAGTTGCACCCATAGCCCACCCACATAGGCTTTTTAAACAGCGTGACGAGAAAACAGGACTTCGAGCGTCTAGTACAGTAGTTCTTAGTGCTATCTGGAAGTGTGATGTAGGGCACATCTCTCAAATGGCTCTGGTACAGCTCAAACTGTACCCACTGAGCAGCAGCCAGCACTCGCTCCCCTCCCCTGGAAACCACCATTCCACTGCCTGTTTCTATGAGCTGGACTACGTTAGATGCCTTGAAGAAGTGCAATAATGCAATATGGCTCCTTCTGTGACTGGCTCATGTGGCTTCACATACAGCTCTCAAGGTCCCTGAGGGCGTGGTAGGACAGGACAAGACCTCCTTCCTTCTGTGTCTACACAGCATTCCACTGCATGTATACCCTGCATTTTCTTTGTCCAATGCTCAGTTAGTGGGCCTTAGAGTTGTTTTCACTGCTTGGCTGTTGTGAACAATGCTGCAATGAGCATATGAGTACAAACATCGCCTTGATATCCTGACATCAATTCTTGTAGGTAATTACCTGGGCGTGAGGCTGCCAGGTCATCGGGTGCTGTATTTGTAACTGAGGAACTGTTTTCCACAGCAGCTGCAGAATTTTACACTCCCACCTGCAGGGCACAGGGCTCATTTCTCCATGTCTCTGCAAACACTTGTTATTTGCCATATCTCTTTCATTATGGCACTTTCTCAGGTCTGAGGTGATATCTCACTGTGATTTCAATTTGCATTTCCCTGCCGATTAGAAATGTGGAGCACCTTCTCTCCACCTGCTGGTCACTGTCAGGGTTACACACAAAGTGTTCCGGGCTGATCCCAATGCAGTCGTGTTCAGAGGCAGGTCCTGGAGAGATGACTGGTACAAGCGCACTAACATCATCTATGGGTCAATCCATCCACAGGCTCACAGCTGAATGGGCCGCTAGGAGGTGGTGCCTGGTTGGAGGAAGTGGGCCTTGGGAGTGTACCTTTAAAGGTTATATCTCATCCCCAGCCTCTCCCTTTCTGGCTCTCTCTCTGCTTCTGCCCACCATGAAGTGAGTAGCTTTGGTCCCTGATGTGCTTCCACCACAATATTCAATGTGTCCCTACCAGAGTAATGATGGAACCAACTGACCATGGACTGAAACCTTAGAAACCGTGAGTCCAGAATGAATCTTTCCTCCTGTAAGTTGTGTCTCTCAGGTTTTTTGTCACAGTGACAGAAATCTGACTAACATAGTCAATGTATGTCTTCCCTGGAGAAATGCCTGCTCAAGCCTTTTATCCAGTTTTTATCAGGTTGTCTGGTTTTTTATCAGATTGTTTCCAGTTTAATCTGGTTGTCTGAGTTGCAGGGTTTACTTATATATTTTGGATATTAGCTCCTTATCAAATATAGCAGTTTACAAGTAGTCTCTTCCATTCTGTAGGTTGCCTTTTCACCCTGTTGATTGTTTCCTTTGCTTTGCAGCACCATTCTAGTCTAACATAGTCCCACTTCTCTATCTTTCCTTTTGTTGCTTCTACTTTTGAAATCTTATCTAAGAAATCACTGCCAAGCCCAAAGTTATGAAGCTTTTCTCCTAGGAGTGGGCTGATTTTTGTGTATAGTATAAAATAAGATTCCAATTTCATTCTTTTGCATCCACTTGTTAAAGAGACTAGCTTTTACTCTTTGTATGGTCTTGGTACCTTGTTGAAGATGATTTCTGGGCTATTTACACTCTTCCATTGGTCTAGATGTCTACTTTCTGCCCATACCATACTGTTTTGATTAATGTAGCTTGGTAATATGTTTGGAAATTGGAAGTGTAAGGTCTCCAGCTTCTTTCTCGAGACTATTTTGGCTATTCAGGGTGTGTGTGTGTGTCTGTATGTGTGTGTGTGTGTGTGTGTGTGTGTGTGTGTGTGTGTGTATGGTTCTGTATGAATTTTAGGATTTTTTTTCTATGTCTATAAAATGCAATTAGGAATTTAATAGAGATCTGTAGATTGCTGTGGTTAGTATGGACATTTTAACAAAAGTCTTCTAATCCATGAACATGAGATGTCTTTTCATTTATTTTTGTCTTCTTTAGTTTCTTTTAGCAATATTTTGTAGTTCTCAGCCAAAAGTATTTCAACTCCTTAGTTAAGTTTATTCCTAAGTATTCTATTCTTCTGAGTGCCATTGTAAATGGAATTATTTTCTTAATTTCTTTTTTGGATAGTTTGTCATTGGTGTATAGAAACCTAATGAGTTGTCATATGTTGGTTTTGTATTTTCTGTAATTTTCTTGACTTCATTTGTCAGTGCTAACAATATTTTCTTGTTTAGTCTTTAGGATTTCCTACATGTAAGGTCATGCCATTGTCAGGAAAAGGGTTAATGTGATGAGTCACTGGAATGCCTGTGCTCACTGAGTGAACTCAGCTATGTGCTGGCTACCTCCCACCTTGGGAAAGAAATGTTATATACAGATAGCCTTGCATGTGCTGTAAGAGTGTCCTTGGTCCTAGCCAGGCCCGAGATACTCTGCTGTAAGACATGTAGGCCAACTTGGCACCAAGCCACCTTTGTGTGAACCCTGTATACACAAGTGGAAAGGCTTGAGAGCAATGTGGTGTTTTCTCTCTTGCCTGCCGAAGGCTCTGTCTCATTCCAGATCCTTCCCCAGAGGATTCCCCTTCATCTTTGGGGCTGTCCCCTGCCTCATTGTGCGGTAACATATTTGACTGTGTTTATATCTGCTGTACTTTTATAATGCATTTACCTTCATCTTTTTTTTTTTTGGTATCAAGGATCGAACTCGGGTCCTTGTGCTTGCTCAGCAAGAGGTGAAACCACCGAGCTAAATCCCTAGCCCTGCCTTCATCTTTTTAAGATTGTTATGAGGCTCCTCTATGTTCATGCAGATCTGAATCTCAAATTTCTGTGGCCACATATATGTGGCTCCTCACTGTCATAGCTATGGCAAACCAAGAATTATACTTCTTTCTTGCTGATTTGGATTTCTTTTTCTTTTTCTTGCCTAATTGGTTTGGATAGTTCTTCTGGTACTATGTTGACTAGATGTGGTGAGAATGAGTATTCTTGTCTTGTTCCTGATATTAGAGGAAAAGCTTTCAATTTCTACCATAGAATATATTGTCAGCTGTGAGTTTTTGACATATACTTTTATTATGTTCAGTTAATTTCTTTCTATTCCTAGATTTTTTAGTCTTTCTATAATTAAAGCACTGAATTTTGTTGAATGCTTTTTCTGTATCTGTTGAGAGGAGTATATGATTTTTATACTTCATTCCATTAACGGGGTATCTCACACTGACTGATTTGAATCATCCTTGCATCCCAGGGATAAATCTATGTGGTCATGATCCCTTTAATTTAGTGTACTGTTTAATGTAGTTTCTCTGGGTTTGGAATCAAGGATTATTACTGGCCTCATAAAATGAGATAAAGCCTTCCTTTCTCCAGTGTTTTGGAAGTGCTTGTGAGGGACTGGTGCTAATTCTTTAAATATTTGATACAATTTACCAATGAGCTCTCCATTATTGGCATATATTTTATTACTGATTAAATCTTTTTTAAAAATTTAGGAATATTCAGATTTTCTATTTCCTCATCATTCAATCTTGTTAGGTTGTATCTTTTTAGGAATTTATGCATTTCTTCTAGGTTATCCAATTGGTTGGCATATAACTGTACATAGTAGTCTCATAATCCTTTTTATTATGTAGCATCCATTGTAAGTCATTTCGTTTCATTTTCTATTTCACTTGTATCTCCCCCTTTTTCATAATTATCTTAGCCAAAGTGTTGCCAATTTTCACGCTGTTTTCAAAAAATAACTTCAGTAACATTGATTTTTTTCCTATTACTTCTGTTCTTGATTTCATTTACTTTTCCCTGCTGTGATCTGCCTATGGTCTGAGTGACCCTCAAGGATCCGTTATGTGTAAAGGCTTGGTGCCCAGTCTTACTGGATGGTATACTGGGAGGTGCTGCAGAACCTCTGAGAGGTGGATCTCCTGAGAAGTCCTTATGTCACTGGCAGCAGGCCCTCAGGTCATCCTCAGAGGACTCCTTGGTGGTTCTCACAAGAGGACAGCTGTAAAGCCCAGCTTTGGCTCCACCACCCTCTCTGCTCCTAGATCGAGAATGTGAGTATTGGTTTGTCCCTGCATGTGCCCACACGGCCATCATGCCATGAAGTGAAACAGCCAAGGTGCAGTCACCATTATACTTTGTCAAGATTCAGCCTCCAAGCTGAGCTAAAGCAACTTTTCTCTTTATAAAGTTAGCTGCCTTGGGTATTTAACCATAGTAATGCAAAACTGACTCTAATCTTATAAACTCTAATCTTAATTATTTCCTTCCTTTTGCTAAATTTGTGCTAGGTTGATTCTTGTTTTGGGGTGTAAAGTTCAGTTGTTTGAGATTCTCTTTCTTTTTTATTAGACATTTATCACTATAAACTTCCCTCTTATTAGGGCTTTTGCAGCACCTCATGAGTTTTGGTATATAATGCTTTCATTTGTCTGAAGATATTTTGTAATTTTCCTTTGGGTTTCTTCTTTGACCTACTTGCTATTCAAGAGTGTGTTATTTAAATTCCGAATATTTGCGAAAATACTAGCTTTGCTTCTACCATGATTCTTAGTTCTAACTCTCTTGATAACTGGCATGATTTGAATCTTCAATTTGTTAAACTTATTTTGTGACCTAAAACGTGGTATCCTGGTGAAGGTAATGTGTGCATTTTAGTAGAATGTGTATTGTGCTGCTGTTGGCCAGGCCGTTCTGTATATATCTCCTACAGCCATTTGATCTGCACCTTTTGTTCAAGTTTTCTCTTTTCCCATTCATCTTCTGCCTGATGATCTATCTTTTATTGACAAAGGATACTGAAATCCCCTGTATTATTGTGCTTTTTTCTATTTCTCCCTTCAGTCTTGTGAATGTTTGCTTCATATTTGCTCTGCTTTTGTGTTCATATATATTTGTGAACATTTTATCTTCTTGATGAATTGATCCTTTTATTGTTATATTATGTCCTTGTTTGGGACTTTTTTATTTAAAAGTCTATTTTGTCTGATATAAGGATAGCCACTCTTGCTCTCTTTTCACTATCATTTGCATGGAATATCTTTTTGTTTCCTTTTAGTTTCAGCCCATTTATGTAGTTACATTAAAGGTAGTCACCTGGATAGCATACAGTTGGATCTTTAAAAAATCCACTCAGCCATTCTCTGTCTTTTGATTGGGATATTTAATCTATTTACATTTAAAGTAATTATTACTAAGGAAGAAATTATTTTTTTCCATCTTGGTAATTGTCTTCTGTCTATATTGCAGGGGTTTTGTCCTACTTTTTCTCTCTTGCAGTCTTGCTTTGTGTCTCATTGATTTTTTGTTGTTGTGGTGGTGGTGGTGATAAGCTTTTATTTCTTTGTGAATCTTCTATAGTTATTTTATGGGTAGTTACCAAAAGGCTAACATAAAACATTTTATAACAATCTACTTTAAACTGATAACAACTTAACTTTAATGCCATACAAATAGTCTATTTTTTACTTCACACACAGCTTTATGTTGTTGATTTTTCAAATTATATCTTCTCATATTAAGTATCCATTAATCTATTTTACAGTTTTTTACACTTTTGTCTTTTAACTTCTATACCAGAATTAATTATACACACCATCACTGTGTTATAGTCTTCTTTACTTGTCTGTATATTTACTTTTATCAGTGAACTGTAGACTTTTATATGTGCTCATGTTACTGTTTAGCATCTTTTTACTTCATCAAAAACAAAGGATTCTACTTAGCATTTCTATAAAGCAGGTCTAGTGGTTGAGAACTCCTTCAGCTTTTATTTATCCAAGAAAGTCTTAACTTCTCCTTCATTTTTAAAGGACAGCTTTAGCAGATGTAGTATTCTTGGTTGGCAGTGTTTTCTTCCTTCAGGATTTTGAATATACCAAATCCACTGATAGTACTGCAGAAGATATAATTAACTCACTGATAGTCTTAAGGAGCTCCCTTGTACAGAACAAGCTTCTTTTCTTGCTTTCAGATTCTGCCTTTGACTTCTGATGACTTGATTACAATGTGCCTTGTTGCCAGTATCTTTGGATTCCTCATGATTGGTCTCTACTGAGTTTCTTAAATCCAATGTCTATTTCTTTCTCCAGGTTTGGGGAGTTTTGGGCAATATTTTTTAAAATAAACTTCTACTCATTTCTCTGTTTCTTTTTCTTTTTGGGTTTGTAAAATGCATTAAGGTCCTTTAGGTTTTCTTCATTTTTTTTTTCTTTTTGTTCCTCTGAACAATTTCAAATGAATTGTTCTCAAGTTCACTGATTCTTTCTTCTGTTAGATCTGGTCTACTGCTGAACTCCTCTAGTAAATTTTTCAGTTCAGTTACTATATTCTAGCAGCTCCAAAGTTTCTGTTTGGTTCCTTTTTCTATTTTCTTTCTCTTGGTTGGTTTTCTCAACTTGTTCCTGGATTGTGTCCTTAAGCTCATACAACATCTTGATGGTGCCTGTTTTGAATTCTTACCAAGTAACTCACATACCTCCACTTCTGTAGGATGAGTTTCTGGACATTACCATGTTCCTTTCCCTGGGCCCCATTTCCCTGCCTCTTGGTGAGTCTCATGACTTGTGCTGGGATCCGGCCATCTCTCTAGCCTTCCCAGCCCTGCTGAGATCCTGAGGTCCTCTGACACTGATGGGGAAGTGACTTCTCTGGGTCTGTGTGTTCAGTTTCTCAACAAAAGTGGGCCAAGTTTCCAGAGGCTTGTAATCCCTTGCTCCCTCTGGTATCTTTCTATGGCACCTAAGTTCTCTCGCTCTCCAGCAGCAAACAACCTCCCTCTTCAGCAGCCACTGGACACCCAAGCTATGCGGACTGCCCACCAGCACCCCAGTGTGGGAAGACAGATTCCAGGCCACTGGGCAGCATGCTAAGAAGCCAGGTTGCTGGATGCACACCTCCCTCCTCTCCTCCCTGGAAGAAGCCTCACATGGTACACCTGCTCCCTAGGACAGAGCAAGGCCAGCTGCGGCAAGCTACCAGTGCCCTTCTTTCTTCTCAACAGCTCCCAGCACCCAGACAATGTTGGTTCCATGAGCATCCATGTGAGGCAAGACAGCAGCAATCCCTCCTGCAGCCCTCTGAAAAGGGGGCAGCTGGAATGCTCGCTCCACTCTGCTCTGCCCCTCCAGGGAAAAGCCCTGAGCCAGATCCTTCTCTCCTGCTGTGGGAAAGTGAAATTTCTCTTCTTACCAACTTCACATGATGGTTCTCAGCTTTAGGCCACCTGGGCCACTGCAACTTCTTACCCAGATTCTGGAATCCTCATAAGGGTATGTGGCTCCACAAAACTGTTAAGCCAGTGTTTCTGTGGGGCAAGGAGAGCTGGAACGTTCTCTTCCGATGTCATCACGGGAACTTCCTCTTGCTGATGTCATGATTCACAGAAGGTTTTTATCATTTTCCTCCTCCAAAACGGCCAAGGTCTCCATTCTACAAATTAGGCATTCTGGTCTATATTACCACCCCATAAGGTAGCTCCAACCTACCTTTCCAGGATTCCTATCTGTCTAAGGCCTCCTCTGCTCTCGCCACATATCTTCTATTGGCTGAATTCCAGCCTATTCCTTGGCCTGCTCCTTTGGCTCCTTCCCTACTCTCCACACTTCCTTTTGAAGTTCTTCTCTCTTCCAGGGTTTACCTCACATATCAGACCCCACAAAAAGCCTTCTGGTTTACCTCAACCAGAATGAGCTCTCTGATAAGAACTGTAATGCTTTGGTTGAACCATCCTTATCTCATTCTGCCTTACAACTATTTAAGCACCTGCTCTATGAAATTATGAGCAAGAACCATTTATGTGATAATGAGCAAGAGTCAGAAGGCAGTCCCTGCACTTCCACAGAGCAGGTATTTATTTCCTCCATGGAAGTGGATTGAGAAGGGAAGAAGGAGGCCATCCTCAACCTGATACCCCAGGGTGGCCCCCTTCTCAAACCTCTCCCTTAGCTTTTACTTAGCACTTCCTGCTGCAGCTGGAAGGTTCAAAAAAAAAATAAACGCATAGCCCTGAACACCACTCAGTACCAGGTTCTGGATGCCATTCCAGCAACAACACCCTGTGGAGTGTGGGATGAGAAGTCGGTGATACCTTGCCTTCAGGATCCACCAGGAGAAGGTGTTTTGCCTGGCTGCCCTGTAATCCACTCAGTACATACTGGCCGGGGGATGTTGCACTCTCTCGAACCAAAAAGTCCCCATCCTTCACCAGAAGGCTCTCTGCTGCCTTCCTGCTCAGCTTGCCATGGTAGCAGTCTTCATTCCACAGCTGCTGCTTGATGTGCAGCAAAGAACATGAGCTGGTGGGCTGGGCTGTGGCACCAGGCTGCACGGCCTCCAGGGCCTCTAAAGCCAGAACACAAAGACACATGACTGTGTTACCTCCCGCCACCCATCCCTATCCCAGCACACAGAGCTCGCAGTCTTCCTGCATGCCAGGCCATTGATAACACTGTGCTACACACAGAGCAGCTCCTGTTTCCACTAATTTAATGGTAGATCCAAACACTGCCTTTGGCTTCTGTCACTGGCAAAGGCACGCCCAGGTGTAGTTTTCCTTCAGATGAGAAATGAGCTGCTTTTATGACTGCAAAGAGAGGCTCTTTATGTCCCTGAGACTGCAAGTGAGAGAGAGGCTTATGCTGGACCTGGACTACAGATACCTTCTACAAAACAGGTACAGGAACTTTGGATTGTGCCCACTTTTTAATATTTGTTTCTTTTATTATGGTACTGGGTATTGAACCCAGGGCCATCACACTGAGCTACATCCCCAACTCTTTATACTTATTTTGAAACAGGGCCTCACTAAGTTGCCCAGTTTGGGCTTGAACTTGTGATCCTCCTGCCTCGGCATCCCAGATCCTGGATTACAAATGTGCACCATCATGCCTGCCCCTCCCTTTTTAAGCTAATTTACAAATTCCTAATGCGCTTCTAGACATTCTTCAACCAAAAACTTCAAAACTTTGCTAAACCTCCTAGCATGCCTATGAAAGGACCTCTCTGTCACCTATTCACCTGGATGGACAAAACAGTCGACAAGGTAAAAGGAAGCGTACATCAGTGAGGCCTGGCCTAAGCAGTGCCCCAGGACCTTGCAGAATAAGTGTTGTTCAGAGCCAAGAGTTCTGGGGAAGAGAAAGTACATCATCAGTTAGCGCTTGGTGCTATTAGTACTCACAGTGCTAATAATGATTGTGTTGCTCCTGCTTACTGTAATAGGCACTGCCAAAAACTATGAATACTTTATGCTATCTTACTTCCAAAATCTGATGGGCCAAATAATGATCTTTAGAAAGGTTAAGTGACTTACTCAAAGTCCCACTGCTAATATGTTGTAGATCTGGGATTGGCAAAAAGGTCCATCTGACTGCAAAGAGTGGGTTTTAATCTACAAACTCTAAGGCTCTAGCCTTGAATATGAAACTATTTCCATCTTTTGAAACTTGCCTCACCTTCTGCCTCTGCAATGTCCACAATGGTCTCTAGAAGATGACATGGCTATCAGAAGGGTGTGCAGCTTAGTAAATGACACAGCTATCAGAAGGCTGTGCAGCATCTCCAGAGTAACAGCATAAATTCTCATGCCCAAGTTCAGGGAAAACTCATCATGTTTGATGGGAATTTACCAGGAAATAACTATAAAAACAAGCTTTGTGTTTTATGTGCCAAGGATTATTCTTCTTAGAAACTAGTCTCAATTAATGCAAAGGAGTGTTTACATCCTTATGCAATGGTCTCACCCACGAGAAATTCATCTGACCCTTTACAACTTGTACAGTACCATTCCATGAAGTCACTGGTGTAGGAATCGAGGGCCCTGTAGACAGACGCAGTTCTCCTGTTAATATGTTACAGTTCTGTCCCTGCTTAAGAACTTCTCTCTGCATAACACAGTTATGATGCAGCAGTCACAAATATCTTTTAAAAATATCTTTAAGTGTAATGACTGGAAATAATTTTCCTCTACAAATAATAAAGTGTTTCTATTGTTGCCAGAAAAGGCCTAATGAAATGTGTCCAGACTTGATGAATGATATTGTAGTTGACCTTGGTGTTGGCTGCTTTCAGGCACAATGGAGAACTTCTAATGAGTAGCTCTGTGTGTGTGTGTGTGTGTGTGTGTGTGACATGACACATATGCACAAGTGTGAGGCCATGCATGTGTGCATATGTGTTGGCACACACATCCTAGTGCATGATGGATTTTAGTTTGTTCTGAGATTATGGTGAAGAGCTTTTGGACAAGGACAAAACAAAAGAAAAGCAGACATTATATCATCTTGCAAAGAGGCAACAGATCCCAAATTAGCACAAGGACAAGACCCACTGTGCTGGGAAAGTTCAATCACTCCAACATTTGCTGAAAAGCAAATTATGCTAAAAGAAGAATATGTGACTTTTTATTTTTTTTAACCTTGAAAGTTATATTTGCTAAACTTTTTCAATCTGAGAAGCAGAAAAACAAAGAAAATCGTGTATGGTGCCTTCAATAAATATAATCACTCTTAATACTGTGGTACATTATCCAGTATCTTGCAACTTTTCTTTTATATAGAATTGACTTTGAGACTGATAATCATAATCTAAACATAGTTATATAATTTCTATGCAATATTTAATAAATTGTTGGGTTGGTATATTTTCTTAGAAGAAGCAGTGAAAGCTAAGGAAGGCCACTCTATATTTCAATGAAATTTGCCACCCCTCAGAAGATGACATAAATCATGGAAGCAAGTCGTCACGTCATCTTGGAGTTCCTACTAGCTATAGTAGGAACTATATTTCAATGAAATTTGCCACCCCTCAGAAGGTGACATAAATCATGGAAGCAAGTCGTCACATCATCTTGGAGTTCCTACTAGCAACTAGAGACATATTGTTCACAATCACAACTTCAAGAAGGCACGGGATGGATATGGTTATCCACACGCACACCTCTCTGATGGACAAAAAGTCTAAAAGGGGGATACAGCTTAAGGATAAAAAATATGCAAAATCTGGATTAAACAATTGCAAGTCATTTCAATGAGAAAGGAAGAATGAGACATTCTAAAAAACTAGTGTGATCTGTAAATATGACACATGACAAATTCAATTTTTAAAAAGCAGTATTGACCACTGTATTGATTAAAGTAGCATTGCTCGTTATACTAGGAAAGGACTAGAAAAATTAAATCTCCATCTATAAGAGCCTGATAGTATCAATTATGATGCATTCATAAAATAGAGTATCACAGAGCAACTGACAATACTGAAAAAGATCATGTGCTAATGTAGATGACTCTTTGGAACAGAAGATTGAAACAAGCAGGCATAGAAGGGGGTTATCATAGCTGTCATTTAATCTTTAAAGGAGGTGGAGAGGTAGGTAAGTAGTACTTAACCATGCATTAACATTCTGAAAGTAGTCAGAAGAAACTGTTAGCATCTGGAGAATTAGATATAGTATTAGGGCATGGGAAGGGATCTTTATTCTTTTCATTTTACACTATTCTTTATTATTTTAATTTCTTTTTAAAGCATCTGTTCTACTCTTGAATTGAAAAAAAACCCCTATAAACTAGGCACGGTGGACCACGTCTGTAATCCCAGCACTCCAAGAGTCTAGACAGGAAGACAGTGAGTTCAAGACCACCCTAGGCAACTTAGTGACTAATGAAGACCCCATCTCAAAATAAAAAATAAAAATGGGCTGTGGATGTAATTCCATGAAAAGGCCCTCAGTTCGGTTCCCAGTACCACCAAAAAACAAGAACAAAACCTATCTATAGAATAGAATGTACACAAAAGTCACAATAGCCACATAATTAAGGATATAACCAGAAAGATATAGAGATACATCAGGGTCAGAGGTAGGTTTCTGAAACCTACCCTTTCTCCTCTTATAATAGGACTCCACTTCCTATTGGAAAGAACTGTAAATACAGCCAGTTCTGGTTATTTCCAGGATTTATGATTTATAAGTTACCACAAACACTGAATTAGTGAAAACTATGCTGCTCTTCGTAAGAGGAATACAGGGTTTAAGTTCCTACAAGACTCAGGTCAAAACATTTTCATCACTCAGACATACAGTCCTATTGTATACGGGTTTATGTTTAAAGACACTTCGTTTAGTATGTACCGACTGCCCCTGAATCACAGTCAGCCTTCTCTATACACGTGTTTTCTCCGTCCCTAATGCCAACCACAGCCTTCTAGCAAACAGTAGACCGCACTCTGGTACTGTGCTTGGGGACACTTGAAACAGTGAAACCACCAGCAAGTAGCTCAAGAATGTAAAAAGTGTGGCCCTAAATGGACCACAAAAGGGCACCTGTTGACAGGTGGAGATCTGGAAGAAGGGAGGGCTCTCCTCATCTGCCCGTAGCTGGGATGTGGGCACTAGAGGGCGCTCTGCGCATGTCTGCAAATGACCACGTGAGCACAGGAGCACTGATTGGAATTAGGATTAAAGTTGAGTGACTAAGCTAACTCTCAAATACGAAATCTGTGAATACTGAGAACTGACTGTACATAGTTCATTACTATGGTTGACTGGCCCTGGGAAAACTGCACAACAGAAATTTTTGCATGAAAATCTTAAAATATAAATTTCTTCGCATTATTGAGAGGAAAAGTGCATGTGTACCTCCATAAAATGTCTAAAAATTTGGTAGAAAAATGTTGACACAAAACATTAAAGCATGAGTGACAAAGAGTCACTAGGTTCAAAGAGTACCTAGAGAAAAGTGATTTGTAATCTAAAGGAAAAATTACACATCTGTGAGGACATATTACAAAGACACAGCAATTAGTACATAGTAATTAGTACACTGGTATACATCAGGTAAGTGGCCAGAAGAAAAAGTATAATAAACAGCCCAGAAATAGGTTCATGTACACAAGAGGAGCCTAAAATAGCAGAACTGGGGGGAAAAGGAGATTATTTACTCAATAGTATCTGGGTAACATTAAGCTAGACCCCCCCATCTCGTTGAAAATATAAAAGGTCAAGTGGAATGAACATTTTATGATGGAAATAAAATATGAAGCTTATAGAATAAGATGTAGTAGAAGCTGGATAAAGAAGAGAAAATTTAATCCAAAGAGACTACAAGAAATTCACAATAAAGATGAAAATAAAAACCAATGAAATGAGAGAGAAAATTAAACTGAAACCTGGGTACTTTGGAAAGATATATCAATAAAATCAGTAAATCTAAAAAAGAACTGATCAAGTAAAAAATTCCCAATAACAAGAATGAGAGAAGAGGTCTTGCTGCAGATCTCTTGAACAATAAGAGCACAATAAAGGTGTACATGTGAAACCGCATGTGGACAGGACTCTAATAAAGCAG